TCAATAATAATTTAGTAATATACAGTTAAATGATAATATAATAAAATTTCACTATTACAGTTACAATGATATATATTATTGTTTTAGGAAAAATACTATCAACACATTTTTGGCATTCTTTTAATATTTTCCTTCTAAATAGATGAAATCTCATTCTGGTTTAAAAAATATGCCCTGTTAATGTTTCTGTTATTCTATTAAATGATATTATTATTATTATGAGGGATAAGTTATTTTGCCTACTTCTATTTTGACTACATTTGCTTACCACTTTCATTATCGTTCGATTACAATCTAATCCAACGTTACAATCTAATCCAACGGTCCATATTTGCGAAATAAAATAAACCCTTTTTTCCCCTTTTCTTTCTCCTCACTTCCTCCCACCCCTTTTCTCTTTCCTCCCTTTTCTCTCTTCCTCTATGCCATACCTATTTTTTTTTCCTTCGTCGCTGGTGTCTGCCGCTGTGGACCTCTTTAACCCCCCACCCATGGTAGTTAAAATTGAGATTTTGCCTAAAATCAGAAAGAGGATAAAAAATCGTAAAACATAAAACCCTAACGTAAGAAAAATCGTAAAAAATCGTAAAAGCATTTGGAATTTTGGTACAATCGTTTTGATTGAAAAAAATCATAAAATCTAAGATTTAAATTGGGATTTTAACTACCATGCCCCCACCCTCTTCAACTCCATGTGCAGTGAGAAGCTTCTCAACTTCAGAAAAACAATTTGAAAAATAAAAAAAAACCTTCATTTTCCTGCAATTCTATCCAAAGCGGCGATGCCACAAGGTGGGTTCTTCAATCTTTACCTCACAACTTGTTGTTTAGTTGTTTTCCATGGTGGCGCAAATTGGGAATTGATAAAATTTCCCGTTAATCGCTTGTGTCTATTGCCGTGAACAATTTTTTTATCGCTTGTGTAGCTTATTAGGTTTTTTTTGGCTCTTCATTTGTAAAATAACAAAAGCAAGATTCAAAGAAACTTTACTAATAGTTAATCACGGACGAATGCAAAAAGATATATCAAGGTTAACAACTCGACCATAAACCAAAGCCTTTTACCACTAGGTATTGTTATTACTCCAAAATTGTGAAGATTGTGAAGAGGCATTTTACATTTGATGATTGTTATAAGAGGTCCACAGCGGCAGACACCAGCGATGAAGGAAAAAAAATAGGTATGGCACAAAGGAAGAGAGAAAGGGGAGGAGAGAGAAAGGGTGTGGGAGGAAGTGAGGAGAAAGAAAATGGGAAAAATTGTTTATTTTATTTTGCAAATATGGATCGTTGGATTAGATTGTAATCGAACGGTAATGAAAGGGGTAGGCAAAGTAGGCAAAATGGGAGTGGGCAAAATAACCTATCCCTCTCGTAAGAGGATTATTCTCACCCTTCCTCCGATAACAATAGTCCAATGCACCCTCTGTTTCCATGAAGAGCTAGTCTTAGAGCTTGTTTGGATCCTCTTATTTTTAAGCTAGAAGCTACTTATAAGCTAAAGCTAAAAAAAAAAGCTAAAAGCTATTTTGAAAATTACATAAAAAACTTAGCTTAAAATTACTTAAAAGCACATATTTCAAGAAAATTATCTCTCTCTCCATCTTTATCACTATTTATTTTAAAAAAAACACACAATTCAAGAAAAACAGATAAGAGCTTAAAAAAAACTCCTCCTAGGAGCTTTTAGTTTTCAATTTTTTTCTTCAATACAAAAAGAAGAGTTTTTCATTATAAGAGTTTTTCTCAAAATTTGTTTGGTCTAACTTATGCTTATAAGTAGTTTCTAGCTAGAAAAAGAGAGGATCCAAACAGACACTTAAAAACTGTATTTCGAGAACAAAATAGTTAGAAGAAGTTGTGTGGAGATATCTCCGGACTATTTAAAAAAAAATATGATATCAAACGAGTGACATTTTTAGCTAAAGGATCAATGTTCAAACCCAAAAATATTACATATCCTGAGTGTAATTGTTTTCCCTCTCTTTTGAGTACCCATCATAGTCACGTCTCGAGAACAAAAATGTTGAAATAGTTTCGCACTTTCGCTACTTTAATATCAATAAATAAGCCTAGACAAAAAAAAAGCATATGAAAATAATGAACGATAGATGGTTCAAGGATGTCATGATGAAGTTAGGCTAATTGATCATTTTGGTGTCTAATTTAAAAAAAAAATAACTCAAATAAATAAGAGTTTTATTTATTTTTAAATTTTAATTAATAAATTAAAAAGATCATGATTTTTTTTAATTTAAATAAAAAATAAGATGGAAATATATGATAAATTAAGTTAATTAAAATATGCCATTACTCATAAATAAATTCATTTTTTTTGTCTAAAAAAATCACTTTAAACAATTTCCCACTTGGAAACAATTGATATTTGAATATTTTCACATAATATTTATTTTTTAATATCACCGACACTGTTATCATCATTGTCTCTCTTATTTTTCTAACACCAATCATTTATGCTATTATAAAGGGGATTCACTCATTTAATCTTTTATTTTTTAACATACAATAATTATTATTTAATTAAACAAAAATATAAAAAAGAGTAAAATTGTAAATATAAGTTACTTTATAATAGCATTTGCTTTTAAATATTCTGCAACTTTTTATTCTAAATCTTATGTATGTACTTCTTTCTTTTAGATGATGAAAAAAATTCCTTTATAAGTATTTATTTGCATTTTGATGAGTAGCAGGGGTTTCTCAATCCAATTTTTTTGTTAATATTAAGATGAAAAAAAGTAATCATGAGTAGTCAATTATAATTTCAAAATCTTACTAAAAAAGAATTGTAATTATAGGATATGAAGTTTAATAGTGTTTTGAAAGCAATTGCAACTAAGGGTGTAAATGGGCTATGCCGGCCTACGGGAGCCTTCGGCCTAGCCTATATTAGGTCGGACTTGGCCTCTTACAATTAGTAAAATTGAATAGACCTAGACTTTTATAAAAACCTATTTAGAAAATAAGTCATAGACTTTTTCATACATATCGGGTCTATAAGCCTACATGTCGGCATATATCATATTATTTATTTTAAATAAAATAAATAAAATTGTTATTTTAATAATTTTGAATGATAAAATAATATTATTTTAGTTATTCTTTTAATTGTTGAATGTTTAATAGGCTTAAACAGGCTAATAGGCTTATGCCAATATTTTTATTTTTAAATATAGGTCAGGTCAGACTTGTAATTTAGGACCTAATAGGCCAGGTCAGACACAATATTTTTTACACAAACCTGATCTATTTAAGTTAAAACCTAGTCTAGTCTAGTCTATTTATACCCCTAATTGCAACCATAAGCAAATGGTATTTACAATTTTTATTACAGATATTTAAAAAAATAAAAACTTTAGAGACCAATTGAGATAACCCAACACCATGGACAAACAAATTCATGTTTATATAAATCTGTTCAACTTTTAACTATAAAATGTAAATTTAAATAAAAAAAATTATAATAGGAAGAAAATTCATGTTTACAGATTGTATATACAATAATTTATAATTTATAATTTGTTTAAAATTTAAATTTATAATTTATTTAGACTTGTATTTAATCTATTTTAATTTATTCAAACTCGTATTTGATATATTTTTATAAAATTAAATTTATATTTAAAATAAATTTATATTTTAATTTATTCAAACTCGTATTTGATATATTTTTATAAAATTAAATTTATATTTAAAATAAATTTATGTAATTATTTTTTTAATGAAAAATTATTAAATAAAGATCATTTTAAATTAAAATAAGAAAAAAATATCTAATGTTACTGTAAATAACTTTGTTTAATTTTCACCGAAATAATGTCATTTTGGGTTGAAAAATTAAAAATTAGAATGAGAAAAACTATTATAATACTGAAATAAATTTAAATTACAAATACACCAAGATTTTCACAACAAAACAACATTATTTCAGTGAACATTAGAGAAATTATCTGAATCTAACGTAACTTTAGAAAAAACGAACTCTTAAAATAAATTATGTTTTAAAATAATAAAATTTATTTAAATTTTATTTTTTAGAATTTGTATTTCTTTTGTAATGTGGTGTAATAATTTGGCCTTAATTGGTTGCGTTTTCAACAACTGATAAACAAAGGATGAGAGGAATATCAGTTTTCATTGCTCTTTTAACTACAATTTTATTTCGAAATCAGGTTTAAGACCAGTTTTAAGTATTTTCAATTTAAAAAATAGGTCGTGTGTTTGTCATCTTAAATGACATAAATTATGTCATTTTAAAAGAGAGATAGACACAGAAAAATAAAAATCATGGGAGAGAAAAAGTGAATAAATTTTTTTAATTTAAAATTTAAATAATTTTTTTTTCTGTGTCTGTTTTCTCTTAAAAGGACAGAATGCTATGTCATTTAAAATGACAAAAACTTTTCCCTTTAAAAATATGTCTACAAATTTATAATAATTAAATAATTTTCTTAAAAAAATTAAAAATAAAGAAACTTTAATACTTTTAAACAAGAAAAATTAACTTCTAAAATTTTTTAAAAATAAAAAAAATATAAAAACATTTTTATTGTAAAGGTTATCCAAATTTCTTTTCAGCATATTTGCAAAGAGAGCCCTGTGCTGATTATTTAGTGTGGGATGCGATCACCAGCGTGGCTTAATTGTTTTTATGATCTTCCTTGGGCAGCTTCTGAGTCCGATGAAAAAATAATCCCTACGGTCGTGATAGAATTGGAGATTGTAGTTTCGTTCTTCTTGGGCGTCTGGTCAGTTAATTTACCCCCACAAAAATTGTGTTTGAACAACGAAGCAAAAGACAAATAATTTTACCCATCTTCTATACCAGAAATAACGGGTATCAAAGTGCTCTTTTTTTCTTTTTGGGCTTGGCTCTAGTCTTGTGCTAGAGTGAGAAACTAATTAAACTCACGGTTGCAACATGTGAAACAAATGCTTCAGTGTTTTCGAGTAAATAAACGATGTTACCACTCACAAAATTCAAAACTTGGCCAAAATTGAACTAAATAAATAAAGAGCAACAAAGCTAGCTGTAAAAATTGCAACAGACAGAATGGCAAACTTAATAACAATAATAATAAAATGAGGCAGAGTGTACCAAGTAAACTTTGCTGCCATAAACCATACAATAAACTCCAACAAAAAAACAACTACGAAAGAACAAAATTCTTGGCACCCGCAAAGCAATGCCAATGGATGTCTCTGAAAAGCATAATTCAGCATCCTCTGCACAGAAAATAATTCTTTTATTACGTGACTTGTGAATACTGAAAACTATATCATTTAAGATCATAAAACATGTATATCTAATTAGGTAAATCTTAAAGGTCGCAAAGGAAAAACAACTTCGAATCAATACAGCTGAGTCATCATCTGTAACAATAACCATCATCCAACGGTAACATGAGCATCCAATGAAATTTTTGGTGTGTGCTTTCTTGCTACATGATAAGGCAAGCTGCAGAGATAAAGCACATTACCTATTTCAGCGTCTGTCAGTTTTTCCACTGGAGCGCTTCCCAGAATACAAGTGCTTGGGCTTCAGATTAGGAATGACTCTATCAGCTTCTCCTCGACGGGCATCCTTGTTTCTCTTCTTGACAGAGTTCTTTGCAAGTTTAATTGCCTTGACCTTTTGAGCAGAATCCTTGAAGCCCTCTCCAGGCACAACTTCATTTGGTAGGCGCGGCACTGACCTGGACCTTGACCGTGATCTACTCAGACGCTGCTTCTTGATAGGTGTGTCACCATCAATATCCATCCCATCTCCACTTCTTGTTTCAGGTGATCTTTCCCTTTTCCGACCTTTCCTAGAGGCAGATCTGCTGCGCATCCTCTTAATTGCCAAAGTGGGATCAAGCCCCAAAGATGACAGCTGCCTTCCCATTCTTTCTGACGTGTACTGCTTGTCCTTGTCAAATTTTCTAGGAACAGTTGGCCGGCTCTCTGCAGTGCTCTTTTTAATCCTATGCCGTCGGATGAGCAAGCTTTTCTTTTTCCTAATCTCAGCTAAAGCTGCTTGCTCTTCTAGAGTCAATGCAGTTCCATCTATCTCAAAATCATCATCTTCTGCTTCTGCCTGTCTCATTCCATCTTCTCTTTCCAACTCAGAAACCCTATGTAGAATATCAGGATCAATGAAATCATACACGTTATGTCCATCCAAAATTTCCGGCAGTATATCTTCTTTCCATTCATCATTGGCTAAAATATAATTCTTTCTCAAGTTCATTGAGTATACACCTGCCCCACCATTTTCATCCTCCAGATCTTTTTCAGTTTTTCTCTTTTCCTTCTCAGCTGCTTGCTTTGCTCTAGCTTCTACAACTGCTGGAGGAATACATGGTAGCCTTTCCTTCTGGTCACGTGGTTTTGGTAGAGCAACATGGAACCTATTCAAGCAGTCATTAATTTTCTTGGACTTCATCTTTGTCTCCACCCTCTGATTCAATAGCCTCTCACATGCTGCATTTTTTACTGCAATTACCCCTTCTTCTGTTAAAGTGCTCATGGTCAACAACACACTCTCATCATTTGTAGGCTCACCTCCTTGACCAGCTACAGTCTTCAAAGCTTCAGCTTTCATCTCCATGACCAACTTCATGTCTTCCTCAGATATCCCCTCCAGTGGTTGCAAGTCAGTCTTGTTACAGACTATAATTAATGGCTTGTTCAAAAACAAAGACTTAATGCCGTGAAATAGAGCTGCCTGCTGGGCAATAGTGTAACCACAAGATCCAGAGATGTCCAAGAAAAACAATATCGCAGCTCTCAGATGTGCAAGAGCAGTGATACTGCACATCTCAATGATATTACGATCTTCAAAAGGCCTGTCCAAAATCCCTGGTGTATCAATTACTTGGTACCTTAGGTATTTGAAGTCTGTATGACCGACAAAGAGAGACTTTGTAGTGAAAGCATAGGGCTGCACATCCACATCAGCTCTCGTAATTTTGTTAATGAATGAGCTCTTGCCAACATTAGGGTATCCACAAATCAAGATAGTCCTCGTATTTGGATCTATCGACGGAAGCCTAGCCATGTGTTGTCTAACCTGTTCTAGGTAAGCCAAGCTTGGGCCAATCCTCTTAATCACGGTGCACATGCGACCAAGCGCAGCAACCTTAAGACACTTGCATCGATATAGTGAGTCGCCATACTTCAATAATCTCACATAGTCTTTGCAAATCTTACCAATAAGATTCCTGGCAGTATTGATTTGTCCAAGTGCAAGCTTGTAATGGTCTTTGTTGTAAAGCACATGGAGGAGATCGCCGTAGAATGGATGAATATCATCAAGCCGAGGGAACTCATCAATTATAGCAGAGAGCTTTTCATGAAAATTTGACTGGGTATACTTCACTTTGCGCATATAAAACTGACGGAGGCGGGTAATTGCATATCCCTTGTGTACAACTGTTGGTGTCTGACGCTGGGTGCGAGAGAGGATGATATCAACAACGTCCTTCCCATTTGGTACCACAGTAATCTTCTTAAAGTTATATTGGACCATCGTTTCAGCCTGTTCAAGACATATAATTCGAGGTTAAAATTGTAAATTTTTAAAAATACAGCAATTTTTAAAAACTAAAAATTTCTCATGATTTCTCTGACTCCTACTGTTTTATCCACAGACGCACACAAGATTTCTCATGTCCACAGCACAAACAATCAGGACCGTAGATGAATTATCATTCTGTTATGAAATCTTCCAAAACTAAAACCTCGAACCGTAAATGATACAAAAACTAAAATAATAATAATAATAATAATAATAAACCTAATTCAAGAAGTGAATGTCCGTATAAACCAAAGAGATCAAGAAGTTTTCAGAATGGGACGTAATCTAATTAATCCTCATTCTTTTCAGGCAATTCATCAAACAGAACAAAGAAACCATGTATAGCGATACGACTACATAAGTAAAAAGAAACTAGGAAGAGAAGGATCAACTCACCCCAAAAATCGTTCACTTTGATGTTGAACAATCGAGCAAGATTGAAGACAGGGTTTTATTTAGTTCGATGCCGCAACCCTTTGCGCACACCGACTCAAATATAAGGCAGTAATAATAAGGGTTTAAGATTGAAGGAGGGAGAGAGATTTCGTGGGTTGCAATCGTTAATCCAACCCAACCCGGCCCAATTAATATAATGGCCTCGATCAAATGAGTCGACTGAGCCCATTCCTATATCTCTCATTCATCATTTGCTTAGAATCTTTTTGGCCTCGTCGGTGAATTAATTCAACCTAATAAATAATACAAAAGTACGAAACCAACTTTAATAATTTTTAATTTCTTTTAAAATGTTCGTTTTTCTTTTTTATGAAATAAAATTATGATTTAATATAAAAATTTTAAAGCTAATCAATAATTTCTCCTTCTTAAAAAATTATGACTTAGTCGTAGATATTACTATATCATAAAACATTTATAATAAAAGGATAATAATGTTCAATTCTAGTGTTATTTATTCTTAATTTTCTTTTGTCATTTATTATTTTTTTGGTCCCTTTAAGTATATTTATCCACCAAAAAATAAAAAGATACTCAAAAATACCTTTGGATCAAATCATACATTCCAATTTTTTCTACATTTTCAACACTTCAGGTTATAACCTCGTACAAAATGAGGAATATTATGGAACAGTGATCATTTTGTCACGCTTGACAAAAAAATTTACCGGACTGCTACGCAAACAGTAAATTTTGCCAAAATGTCACGCGGCATATTTCGCTACACTGTGTAGCGAAATATGTTTGCATACAATTCGTTAAACTGTGTAGTGAAATATGTCATGTCAGGTTGCACAGTCAGCAAAAATGACATGTGTCAAGCATGCAGAATTCAAGCATAATTCGCTACACAGTGTAGCGAATTTCTACCTACTTGACACGTGTCATTTTTGCTGACTGTACAGCCTGACATGGCATATTTCGCTACACAGTGTAGCGAATTATATGCAAACATATTTCGCTACACAGTATAGCAAAATTATGTCGCGTGGCATTTTGGCAAAATTTACTGTTGGCGTGGCAGTTTGGTAATTTTTTTTGTCAAATATAGCAAAATGGTCACTCTCCCGAATATTATCTTCTTCTTCATATTTGGTCTTTCTACATCTATGTAATTTATGTAATTTTAAACTTGTATAAGCTGAGATAATATTTTTTATGCTTTATTTATTTTATAAGTATTTTTTACAAAAGTTGAAGTTATTTAGATTTTGAAAAAAAATATTTGATTTTTGACTTTTACTTTTTTTAGAAGCTAAAATTTTTAGCTTCCAAAAAAAGTAATTTTTTGGCTTTTTTGTGGTTTCTAATTTTTTTAAAAGCAGATATTCAAGATGTGTATGACAACCATTTTGTTCTTTGTCACTGTTTCTAAAAGAAATAATTATTTTCTACTTTTGTGCCTTGGAATAGTTTCTGAGAAAAAAATATTTGATAACATGTTCTATTTTTATTCCGAAAATAAAAATTGCTTTTGATAACACAACAAGTAATATAAAAAAAAGTTATATTAAGCATAAAAAAAATTCGGATCATCGCTTTTCTTTTCATATGGTGTGGTGTTGGTGGCAGTGACGGCGATGGTGGTCGTGACGTAGTGGTGGTGGTGATAACGGCAGTGGCTGCGACGATGGTGGTGGTGGTTGGTGACAGTTGTGGTGATGGTATCGATGATGGTGACTAGAGCCAACAAAACGAGTTCGGCTCGGTCGGCCAACCCGCCCAATGGGGGCGGGGCAGGCTGAGTTTTTCAACCCATCTCAAAAACGGGACGAGGTGGGCTCATTCTTTGGCGGGTTGACGGCGGGCATAGGCGGGCCGAGGCGGATCAGTGTAAAATAGGCTCGGGATGGCGAGCCAACCCGCCCAACCCGCCAAACGGGGCGGGGTGGGCTAAGTTTTTCAGCCCACTTTCAAAAGCAGGCGGGGCGGGACGGGCTGACTCATTTTTTGTCGGGTTAATGGCGGGACGAGGTGAGGCGGGGCGGGCCACACACTTTGCCACCTCTAATGGTGACGACAATGGCAGTCGCGATAGTAGTGATGGTTGGTGATGGTGGTAGTTGTGGTAGTGGTGACACTGGCTGTGGCAGTGGCTGCGATGATGGTGATGGTGGTTGGTGGCAGTGATGATAATGGTGGCTGCGGCAGTGATAGTGGTGACGACGACATGTTGGTAGTGATGGGTGGAGGTGGTGGTGATGGTGGCGGTAGCATCGTGATGGTGGTGGTGACGGCGACATTGGTGGTACGACGACGACGATGGTGTCAGTGGTCATGTCGGGATGATGATGGTGGTGGTGATGATGATAGTAGTGGTGGAGAGTGATTGAAAGAGATAAATGTTTCTCATTTTGTATCTAAGAACAAAAAAACATTTTGTTTGATTCTTTTTTCTTTTCCCCAATATAAAAAATAAGAGGTAGGATTATTTGACACCAGTGTCAAATTTAAAGTTTGACACCTCATCAGAGAGTCATTAGATAAAAAAAGATCAATGATGTCACATGCTTACAAATCAGAGTTGTTGATCTTTTTTTATCCAATGGTTTTCAAATAAGGTGTCAAACTTTAAATTTGACATTGATGTCAAAGGATCTGCCCAAAAAATAAACCGGTACATCCTAAAAACAAAAAAGTAAATGATTTTATCATATGAGTTTTCTACCTATTCTATTCTGGGAACAAAAATAAAAATAAAAAAATTGATTTTAAAAAGATGGTCATGCATAGAACTGTCAATATGGGCCACAGCCGGCGAGCCAGCCCTTCAACTCCCATTATCAGCCCCCTTATTTTTTGGCCCTCATGTTATAGGGTTATTTTTTACCCTAGTCTCAATAACACTCATTTCTTTTGGGCTAACACAGGGTTAACCGCGGGCCAGCCCATTTTTTTACCAAAATCCTAAACCCCTAATTTCTGTTTGTTGTCGTGGTTCTTCTCCTTCACGGACTCCATTTTTGTTCCCATTTCTTCTACTTGTTCTGTTCTTCTTCTTCGTAGAGGCTCGTTTTGTTTGATAGCTATTCTAATTTCTTCTACTTCTCCTCGTTCTTCTTCTTCGCGGAGGTATGTTTTCTTCTCCTCGAAAGCTTCATGTTTTTTTTTCTCTTTGTCTTTGTCGCAATCTGTGATGGCTTCAATCTTTTTGAAACAAATGTTGTTGGGTCATCGACTGATTCACCCTTCTTGTGCCTATGAATTTTTTTTCTCTCTGTGTTCTTCTTTGGGTTTTTGTGGCAATTTCCCATGGCATGTGTTTCACACAACTTTAATTTTTTAAACCTATATAAATATTGTTCTGCTATCTTCTGGAGTTACACTGCACGTTTTCATAATCCCGATTTCTGATTTTTATTCGATTAACTTTAAAATTCCATTTATTTATTTATTTTAATTAATTTTAATTTTTCAAGAGTATGATGATGAGCTATGTTGATTGTTGGGAATAGGGATGTTCTGCTTCACTGCATGGTCAATGCAATTTTGGGGAATTTAGGTGTTCAATCAGATTAGTTATGCTTCTTCGGTGTTCATCCAAGAATCTATGAGTAATATCCCACAAACATAGCTTGCTTCCTACTTTATTTTCTACATTGAAAATCTGATACTAGTTTTAGGCATTAGCGTCTCCATTGAAAATCCCACAAACATAACTACTTTTACATTCAAAGGGTAATAATCTCTCTCCCCCTCTCTCTCTAAGTCACCCATTATACGAAGTGGAAGTGGAATGAGTTCATTCATTGAATCTTTGGAATCTGTCCCTAAAAGTCAATATTATAATATGCATCCTCCATTTTTATGAAACTTCTCTGGTTTTCTGCAGTGTAAAAGTAACAACAGTAACACAGTGAGTGAAGGAAGGAAAGGCAAAAACTCCATACAGGGAGTGAAGCTAAAGCTACTTATAGTGTTTTGTTTCAATTCTGGGTCCTTTATCTGTGTTCTGCGTATTTAACATGGATGGTTCACTCCCCAATCTATTTTATTTCGAAATGGCAGCGTAAAATGAAAGATACATTTTCTGATCTGCTAACAAAAAGCAATAAATAATTTTATTTTAGTTGCTTCTTGTTGCGTAAAATCGACAAGTGCACCGATCGTATCAAGTAATAAAAGTGAGTAAGATATCGTCCCACGAGGATTGAGGCACCAGATTTAAATTTAACTATTCCTTTCTTATTGGATGAACAAGGGTTGGTTTGAAAATAATGGTATTTGTAACAATTGTGAACTATTCAATATTTCGTGAATAATTCAGAGAGAAATTTGAAGAAATTAAAAAAAACAAAGATTGAGATTTGAGAAAAATATTAAAAGAAAAACTATTGCAGTAAAGGACGTCAACACCTTTACGATCCCCACCTTGTAATATTAATTAATATTTATATTTAATTACCCAATTGACCAAATAATTCACCATCTATAATTAATGAGTTAAGCTCTAATCCCTTAGTGATCTTAAGATTATTAACCCTACTAGAATCATAATCCCTTAGAAATTCCTTTTCAAGTTAATCCTTAAGCCCAGTGAATTTTCTACATTTGCAGTTCATGTAGCCTATCCCTAGTGCATACATGAACATTTATCTTACCCTTTGTCAGGAATTAGAATCCCAATATCCCTATTGTGAACCCTAACCCTCGCAATCCTAATAGAGTCGCGAATTCTAAAAGAATTATGGGATGAAGAACAGAGTAAAATAAATTCAATTGAATAATTAATCATAAACTTAACCAAAATACAAGGGGTTCACATCAAGGGTTGTGATCCTTACCACAATATAAAAAAACTAGCTAGACATATTCATGTCTGACAGTTTAAAATAAAAAGAATTCATAAAAACAAAAAGAAAAAGAAGATGAATGATTTTCAGCGTGAGCCTCTAAGAATTCTCTCCAGCCCAAGATGATGTTGTTTTAGAGTTTCTGCTTCCTTTATATAGCCAGCTACTCAATCAGATCATAATCCTTGAATTAATTCTGATTAAATTTCCATTTTTCTCATAATTCCACCAATCAATCAGGTCATAATCCTCTCATTAATTTGATTAAATTTCACTTTTAATCAAACTCCACAAATCAAGGAATGCATTCATGACGCCTGCGCGATCAGTGCCAAATTCGCGACTCCACAAATCAAGGACTGCATTCATGACGCCTGCGCGATCAGCGCCAAATCCGCGCGGATCGCGCCATTTTTTGTGCGAGACTATGCAATTTTAACTTCTCTCTTTCACTTCATTTTGATGTTTCCTGCTATCAAAATGCATAAATTGAGTGAGAGAATGATTGAGAAGGAATAATCAATATTTCTTGCATTTATGAGCTTATTTTCACACATTTATGATTAATTTCTTGCTTCTTTTACTTAGAAATCTTCATATGTTAGACGCATATCACTTCTGTTAGGAAATTGACCGAGTGCAATATTTCTGCCTCATTGTCTTGTACAACCCTGCTTTTATGTACTGAGTGTTGAATACTAATATTTTTTCTTGTTCAAAAAATTATACTGGCTTTCTTTATCCATGTATTTTCATTTATTTTAGACTGTATCAAAAGAAATCAACTAAATTACCCTTGAAAATGTGCCTTAAGTGATTTTCCCTTATGCCAAACTATACAAATTCTGAAGTGTAGGGCAAGAGAACAAGATCAAATTGCTTAACTTAGCTACAGTTCAGTACATATTGTGAAAATCATCTGAATTTCTAGCTTTCTTGATTCTTAAAATATCACATTGAAAGTATTCCTGGTTTAATTTTGCAGTAGTGATTTAACATTTTTATTCAAATGGAAATTTTTTCATGTTGTAGGGTTTCATCCAAAAAGGGATTTTTGATCCACAAAAGTGGATAATACCTGGCGATAAGTCAAAAAGTCTCTCGCTAAAAGAAGAGTTTATTTCTAGTAGAACAAGAGTATATGTTTGTGGAACAAGAGAAATAAAATCCAAGGTTGTTGCTGATGTTATTGAGGCACTAATTGGTGCCTTCATTAGCACCGGATTACTTGTAGTTTGAGGTGGCTTTTATCCTCTCTAATCTGTTAAGTATCACATTGGTTTATTTCTGGATTAGTTGTATGAGATTACTTATGTTGCATTGGTTTATGAATTTTATAATTGATTTTTTCTAAATTGATTTTTGGCCCCACTATTATACCCCCACTATGACACTGATATACACAAGTGTACAATTAAACATCTACTACAAAGTCCTTAACCCACATAGGGGCTCCTCTACTTCTTTTGCCCGTAACAATACCCCTGTCTACCAATTCAACCTTGTCCTCAAGGTTCAGCTGAGGATAGTGCAGCTTAAGTTCCTCTTCATCCTCCCAAGAAGAATCTTCTGGCAAGGAATGAGACCATTGAACCAACCATTGCGTACCAGATTTATGTTTATCAGATACCGTCCGAGACATTAAAACAGTTACTGGCTCTTGGACAGGAGAATTGCCATGGCTAAATTAAGGTACAATTGGAACTAAATCAGGATGTTGTCCCTTAAAAGGTTTCAAGACCGACACATGAAAAGAAGAATGTATCCTACACCCCTCTGGAAGTTGCAGCTGGTAAGCGACTGGGCTCAACACTTTAATAATGGGAAAAGGGGCCAAAGTACCTTTTGGCTAGCTTCTGATTTGATCGCCTTGCAACTGTCAATTGCCTATAAGGTTGGAGTTTCACCAACACCAAATCACCCACTGCCAGGGATATATCTGTTCTATGTTTATCTGCCTGGATTTTCATGCGATTTTGAGCTCCTTGCAAGTGATGTTTAAGTTGAGCAAGTAGCTCATTGCGATGGACTAAGGCTGTATCAACTGCTTCAACCTTGACTGATCCTCTAGGATAATAAGGAATCATCTGAGGCAATTTCCCATACAAAGCCTGAAAAGGACTCATACCAATTGAAGAATGGTGAGCTGTATTATAATGCAATTCAGCCCAACTCAAAAAGGAGGACCACTTGTGATTCTCATCAGAACAGAAAGCTCTAAGATATTGCTCTAAATATCTGTTAGTCACTTCAGTTTGCCCATCAGATTGAGGGTGGTAAGCTGTACTTGTGTGCAACTTAGTCCCACTCATCTTAAACAACAATGTCCAAAAATGACTGAGGAATACACTATCCCTGTCTGAAACAATAGACTTTGGATACCCATGCAATTTCACCACCATGTCACAGAACAAGGATGCTACTTTGGCTGCTGTATAAGGATTGGCCAAAGCTCCAAAGTGTGCATACTTTGAGAGGCGATCAACCACTACAAGGATGACTGAAAACCCACGAGATAAAGGCAGACCAGTTATGAAATCCATGGTAAGATCTTCAAACACCCCAACTGGAATGGGCAAAGGTTGCAGCAAGCCAAAAGGAGGAGTGGTTGCTGTTTTCACCATTTGGCAGATGGGGCAATTCCCAATGAATGCAGTTACCTCCCTTCGCATATGATACCAAAAAAAAGATGTTGACAGTCTGAGTAATGTGCGGGTCACACCAGCATGCCCCCCAATTGGAGAAGCATGTGCTTCACTAATCAAAATTTGCTTTAAATTAGATTTGGAACTTAACAGCAAACGATCATTGTAATACAGAATTCCAGCTTTTGCTGAAATTTTGGGATCAACAAACTCCCCACTTCTCAACTTGTTATGAAAGGCAATCAGCTCTGGATCAGAAGCATTTTCCCCCTTTATTTGCTCAATGATATCAAATTTAACTTCTGAAATCAATGTCATAACAGTACCTGCTCTCTCTTCCTCATACATTCTAGATAAGGAATCAGCTACAACATTGGAACTACCAGGCTTATATTCAATGACAAAATCATATCCCATCAATTTACAAGCATACCTTTGTTGTTCCAAAGTCTGAACTGTTTGGGAATGTAATTCCTTCAAGCTCCTATGGTCAGTCTTGATAACAAACTTGGAACCAAGCAAGTAATGCCTCCACTTTTTCACTGCTTCAGTTACAGCAAAGAGTTCCCTAACATATGTTGAAGCCAACTGCATCCGAGGTCCCAATTTCTTGCTAAAAAAAGATATGGGCCTATTGTTTTGTAATAAAACAGCTCCAATGCCAATTGAAGAGGCATCAGTCTCCACCACAAAAGGAAGAGAAAAATCAGGTAGGGTAAGGACAGGGGTTGAAGTCATGGTTTCTTTGAGTAATTGAAAAGCTCTATCTGCCTCCTCAGTCCACTTGAAGGACTCACTTTTCAGCAATTCCGTTAAAGGGGCTGCCAATTTGGCATAATGACAGATAAATCTTCGATAATAGCCCGTAAGTCCAATGAATCCTCTTAACTGTTTCACATTCTTTGGTTTGGGCCAATCCATCATAGCACTAATCTTCTTAGGATCTGCCTTGACTCCATCTCCTGAAACAAGGTGCCCCAAATAATCAATTTCTAGCAAAGCAAATCCACATTTATTAAGTTTAACCTTAAACTGGTTCTGCTGCAAACACTCCAAAGCCATCTGCAAGTGAAGCAAGTATTCCTCAAAAGAGACACTATAGATCAGTATGTCATCGAAAAATACTATGATAAATCGTCTCAAATAAGGTCTAAACATCTGGTTCATTGCCGATTGGAATGTAGAAGGAGCATTGGTTAAGCCAAATGGCATCACCAAAAACTCATAATGGCCATCATGAGTTCTAAAGGCTGTCTTGGAAGTGTCTTGAGGCTGCAACCTTATTTGATGATAGCCACTTCTTAAATCCAACTTGGAGAACACACTAGCCCCCTTCAATTCATCAAGGAGCTCATCAATAGTAGGAATTGGAAAACGATCCCTTACTGTTATTTTGTTTAGAGCTCTATAATCAATGCACATTCTCCATGAATTGTCATGCTTCTTTACAAGTAAAACTGGCGAGGAGTAAGGACTTTTACTGACCTTAATGAATCCAGAAACCAACAGATCTGCCACCTGTTTCTCAATTTCGGATTTTTGGTGATGGGCATACCTATACGGTCTTACATTAACTGGTGTTGACCCTTCTGTCAAATGGATAGCATGATCATATTCTCTAGAGGGAGGTAGACCCTGAGGTATTGTGAAAACCTCTTGATAGTGGATCAATATGTCCCACACAGCTAAAGGAACTGTATCTTGCACAGCTAACAGTTCTGCTATGGCATTGGTTGGATTAGCACCCACGACAGTGTTAGTTGCAGGTACCAACGTAGACAACACAAAACATTCAGCAATTGAATCCTCCCCTTTTCCTCCTTGCCCCTTCAATAGGATTCTCTGACTATTCCAATTGAATTCCATAGACAAATCACTATAATCATGAATAACTCTTCCCAAAGAACTCAACCACATGATGCCCAAAATAATTCCCAACCCAGTCAAATCAATGATCCATAAATCGACAACAAATTCATGCCCTTGAATGTTCAACACCACAGCTGGGCATTTTCTGTCACAAACTAAAAAGTCTCTATTCCCCAAAAACACTCGCATTTTAGGTATTTTAACCATAGGCAAGCCCAAACTAATAGCCAAGTCTTTCTGCACAAAGTTATGTGAGCTACCAGAATCAATGAGAATAGGAACTAACCGTCCATTCAACCGAATTCGAAACTGTAATGCTCTTGGATTCTGGTCACTGGACATGGAATGAAGTGCTGCATCCATGTGATGTAATTCTAACTCCCTAGACTCCTGTTGAAGCTGCTCTGGTTGCCAAACTATGTTTTCCTCAGTTTCCTCCACCTCTTCCTCCGAATTCCCCACCATAAACAACATTCTCCCTTTACAAACATGCTTGGAATTCCACTTCTCATCGCATGTATAACACAACCCCAAATCCCTTCTCTTTTGCAGATAGTCATTAGTCACTCTCCTACTAGATGCTGGTGGAGGTAAGGCCAAAACACTCGGTTTATGGGGTGGCAGATTAGATGGTAGAGCTGGTAAACTGGATTTGTTGTGGGAAACCCATGGAGTATTGGAATTAAGTGGTTCAACAGAAAGTGGTTTAGAAAAAAATTTCTTGTTAACAGAAGACAGAGACACACGAAGTTCTGTGTAGTGGGCTTCATATGTCAAGGCTAATTGCATTGCTTGATGCAATGAAGTGGGTGTATGTAATTGGATGGCTCTCCGCAAATCAGCATGTAATCCAGACACAAAGAAGCTCATCAAAACTTCATCAGAGAATTCAGTTACCTGATTAATCAATGCTTCAAAACGTCTGATGTAATCATCAAGAGCTCCCTCTTGAGTTAATTTCGATAACACACCTCTGAGATCAGTGTATCTGGTCCCACCAAAACGTTGCTTAACTGCAACCTTGAAATGCTCCCATGTTTGGATTGTGTTCCCACTAAACAACCATTGAAACCATGGTGCCGCCATTCCTTCCATCTTCATACCTGCCAATCGAACTTTAAGAGGCTCTGGAATCTGGTGCAACCCAAAGTACAACTCCGTTCTGAAAATCCAACTAACTGGATCCCTTCCATCAAATGAAGGCAATTCCATTTTAACAGATCGCATGACATTACGTGAATCATTAGGGTCGAATCGAAATTGATTCTGCCCTGGAGATTCAATGTTTCCGCCAACTGGATTGGGTCTTGTACCCCCTATATCACCGAGACGATTCTCGATTCCTACCATCGCAGCATGGATTTGTTGAAGCTGATTGGTGGCAGTGACAAACTGTGTCTGATGATCCACATATTGCTGTTGCATGTCGACCAAACTGCGATCAACACGCGCCTGAAAGGAACCCAATTCCTCCGCTAGCTCCTGAAGTCTCATCTTCAACCAACGTGAGATCACAATATGAAAGCACCAATGTTAAGGGTAAGACCCAACAAAGACGCAAGAAAATGAAAAGAAGAATTTCAATGTGTTTATTCAGAATGAATGATCTTTTTATTACAAGGGACCCCTTATACTAATCCTCTTCTAACTTCCCACGTGCCTTCCCTTACAATGGACACATAGATCCAACTAACTAACTAACTGCCACCTCACTAGCCAATACCTAGCCTTTTACTATTATACCCCCACTATGACACTGATATACACAAGTGTACAATTAAACATCTACTACAAAGTCCTTAACCCACATAGGGGCTCCTCTACTTCTTTTGCCCGTAACAGTCCGCGCGGGCTAGGGCCTAATGGGCCGGGCTGACCCGTTTTGACGGCTATTCATGCACACCCTCAAACGAATTCTACAGTAGAAGTGCTTTTTTTTTTCTTCTAGAAAAACAACTTTTGGCTATAAAAGAGTTCATCGAAACGGGCCCTAATCGATTACAAAAAGTAATTGTAAAGTATTTAAACTTAGAGTTTAATGTTTTTTTTTGCTGCATAATTTTTTTTTCTCACACTCATTTAAAAGTATGTGGCTCCATCGTAAAGAGAAGATAGAGAAAAAAATTAGTGGAATCTACTCACTTCTATATAAGGAGTGTGATTGAAAAAAATTTCCTACATCAAAATTAGAAATATTTTTCCCTTAAAAATAAGGGTGCATCAGATGTCCTATCACAAGATATCGTGCAACTAATTTTGAACTATATACTTGTATATATAGTTTTAATATTTTTTTTTAACTATGTATTCCCGTATATATTTAAAAATACTTTCCCTAAAAAAAAAATACATACACACACAAATTTTTTTTTTTTTTTTTTTTTAAAAGTACGCTAATTTTGAAGCAGAAATAATGCACATGGACTAGTGGACTAACTGTAATCTTTAAGCAGTAACGGTGAAGGGATGAGGTGTGAAAGTTGAAAGAGATGTTGAGGGTGGCGGTGCGATGGAATTGGAGGCCTATGGCTTCTCTCCCTTTAACTCGCTTCACATCACGACAGCTCCACACGCTCAAGCCCAACCCTAGGCCTCGATTCTCTAGCTTGAAGCTTTTTTCTCGATCCTCTTCTTCCGATGCTGTGCAAACCTCATCTTCTCTCTACGGCGAACTCCACACCTACCTCCGATGTTGCATGCCAGAGAAGCCGCTCCGAGTTGCTGTTCTTGTTAGCGGAGGCGTTGATAGCAGCGTTGCTCTCCGGCTACTCAATGCCGCCGGCCATTCTTGCACCGCTTTCTACCTCAAGATATGGTTCCAAGTACACCTTCCAATTTCATCCTCTTGATTAGATTAGAGTGCATTAATTGAGTTTTTTTTTTTAATCTTCAAATTAGTTCATTGCTAGCTGTTGCTTTCTTACATGCGGTTTTTTCTGTAGGAAGATTTTGAGAACTTTTGGTCAGAATGCCCCTGGGAAGAGGATTTGAAGTATGCCAAAGCTGTTTGTAATCAGGTAGGTCACTTTCTTATCAAATTCTTTATTGTATATGATGCTGACCAGTGAGTGACCACCACATTACAAATCTGATGCAAACGGTATTTGTATTGTATTGTATTTGCAGGTTCAAGTACCATTAGAAGTTGTTCATTTGACCGATGAATACTGGGAGAATGTGGTATGCTATGCAAGACTTCTTGTGCTCTAAAATCAATTAATAGCGTTTCCTGTTATTTAATTAGACTTTTAAGTTAACATATCTATTCTAATTGCAATAGTATAGGCTTCTGCCTCCTAATTGACTCACTGACCTGCATATCAGGTTTCCTACATCATTGAAGAGTATCGTTGTGGCCGTACTCCTAACCCCGATGTTCTCTGCAATACAAGAATAAAGTTTGGTATGTGTGTGTCTATTCACATGCAATGAATCCTACCAACCAAATTCTAGTTTACTTCATCTACTCTGTTTCTGTTTCATTAATCAAATATATATATGATTTTTTGTTAGGTGCATTCTTAGATGCAATCAGTGATATGGGTTTTGACTATGTTGCCTCTGGGCATTATGCAAATGTTGTCCACCCATTGGCAGATCAGAAGGATGAACCTTCTGTTCTAGAACTATCCCAAGACATGGTACCAATATGAGATATACATTTATGGTTAAAAAATTTTTGTTTGCATTTATGGGTTATAGGTGATATTTCTGTACCGGTAATTCTTTCTGAAGAATCTTTACTGATTAACTTATATTGAATTGTTTATGGTAGTTTTAAGTTTTACATATATTTTTTGCTTGCCTGTTTATTACTCAAGAAAATATTTTTGCATGCTGTCAGTTTCTAATGTGGTTTTGAAATATTAGGTAAAAGATCAAACGTACTTCCTTTCACACCTCTCACAATCCCAGTTGAAGCAACTTCTTTTTCCTCTTGGTTGCATTCCTAAGGTTTGTTATGACTGGTACCATTTACAATGCTGAAGTTGCATTTAATTTTGTCTGTTGTTTAGTCATTTTATGATTTCTAACATGAGAACTCAGGAAGTATGTCTTCAGAATATATTTATTAAAATTTTGAGTGCCTTTGGTAGTTGCTTGGGATTGAAAGTTGAGTGTTGCTTTGCAGTAACCATTTATAAAGGCCATCAATTTTTTTTTTTTTTTTGATACAAAAAGGCCATCAAATTCTCTAGTTCAGTATGAAGCATTTTTTTATCATCTTGTAGCTGACATTCTTTTGTTCCTTTGAAACACATCACTTGCTATCCAGTTTTTATAAGGTCTAACATGAGAACTCAGGCTGGATGTTTTCAGAATATATTTGTTAAAAATATTGTGTTCCCTTAATTATAGTTTGAGGTTGAACTTTGGATGCTGTTTTGTACTAACCATTTATAAAAGCCAACTAGCTATCTTGTGCTGTGTGAAGAACATTTTTTTATCATTTTGTGCAAGCAGATGTGCTTTTTTGTTTTTTTTAATAACACTACATGATGTTATGAAGAAATTTTCTATCTAATTTTTGTCTCCTGCCACATCATGTGCAGGAAGAAGTCCGCAGGCTTGCCACAAAATTTGATCTACCGAATAAGGATAGGAAGGATTCCCAAGGAATATGCTTTTTGGGCAAGGTATGCCTAGTGAACAGCTCTTTTACGCGGTATCTATTTCAATGTGTTGAGAAATATATGGTTCGTTACAAATTACCCTTGATCTGAAAGAGGATCATTAAAATAAAAATGACACTTATGGCAAAGTCCATTATTAATTATTGCAATTATTTTTTAATTTTCTATTTTAAAACTTTAAAGCAGTCATTTTGTTCACATTTATATTATTGGTTTGAAGCAAGTCTTGAAGATAGTTTTCTTTTACAAAACTATCTTTGTTCACTTTTTGAGTCAGATAAGATTCAGTGAATTTGTTGCAAGACATATTGGGGAGAGAGAAGGTATCATACTGGAAGCTGAGTCAGGAGATTTCCTTGGCAAACATCAGGGTTTCTGGTTTTATACTATTGGTCAGCGCCAGGGTCTACGGCTACCTGGAGGCCCATGGTTTGTTCACTCTCTGTTTCTTTCTGGCATCATTTGTATGTCTGATAAGTTTCCTATCATATAACACCATTTTATATTGAAGATAGATCCACATTGTAGGTGCAGAAATATGAAATTGTGAATAAATGCTAGTTTGCGGTCCCACGATTTTTTAACTTCTGATCATTCACTTGGAAGGGAGCAATTTTCCCACACAATTATTTTCCCGTTTTATATCTAATGCAGGTATGTTGTTGAGAAGGATGTTAAAAACAATGTAGTTTTTGTGTCAAGAAATTACTTTTCCTTTGACAAAAGAAGGCGCCTATTCCGTGTTGGTTCTTTAAAATGGCTTAGTGGGTTGCCTCCAAGCCAGACAAGTCAGCTCCAATGCAAGGTGGGATACCTTGAATGCCAATTTCTCCTCCCTGTTGTTAGAAACTTTCTCCATCTTTATAGTGCTTGAATTGCTGGTAACTCAACCTTTTCAGGTGAGACATGGTCCTGGATTCTATAATTGTAGCTTACAAATGGAAGTTGAAGGAGATGGCCCAGATGACTCTGCTGTCGTCCGCATATCTGAAGATGATCAAGGCCTAGCTGCTGGGCAGTTTGCTGCCTTCTATGAGGGAAGAACATGCATAGGTTCTGGTGTGATTTTGGAGTCCTGGGATGATCAAAGTTTTCCAATATGTACAAAAGCTTTAGAAATTGCAAGAATGGAAGATAAATCAAAGATTGGGAATCCAGTTAAGATAAAAGTTAAACCAGATAACCCGCTAGTAGTGTGTGATTCCACAGAGTTAGCAAGTAAAGCATCATGAGGGAATAAGAAATTTTGGAGTTGCTGCCACCGAACAAAATAGGCATATATGCCAGAGGAATGCAGTTTCCATATTCCCTTTCGAAGGGGTACAAAAAATTTGGCATGCATGGGCATACATGTAGGTTTTCTGATCTTTGGTTCTGGAACGTTCTCATGTACTTGTTCAGGGAAATCATAAATATTTTTTGGAGGGAGGAATGGCTACTCTAGGTTGCAATGGAGCTTCCATTATTCGGTGTTTTGAATTAAATATGTATAGGAGCTTCCATGGTTCAGCGGGTGAAATGAAGAATTATTAAATGAAATATACCTTGAGATGCTATTTAATTCTAACAAGAAGAGTTATTAAATGAGGAATTTCTTAGTATGGAATTTAATCAATGAAGAAAATATGGGGGAAAATTGACCAATACTATGGCATGGATTAAACAAACTTGCATAGCATCATTTGAAAGCCTTAGATTCAGCCCACCAAATTGTAGTTTTGTAAGATTGAATTGCTCCAATATTTTGCCAATTACCAAAGGAGGAGGGATATTCTAACTACTATAATTTTTTACTAACTTATTACTTATCTAATCACCATTTGATTAATATTTTTTTCTCTTCAAATTTTTTTTAACATTCTCTCTCTTTGATCCAATGATGATGCAATAAGTAGTAAGTTCGTAGTGAGAGTTATTGGTAGTTAGAATTTCTTCACTCTTATCAGAGTGCTAAGCTCAAAGGCTCATGTTCTGTAATTAATCCGCCTTTACTACCAGACCTGGTTATAGTGAAAATGAGAGGAAAAATCGGAGAAGAGAAAAAAAAAAAAAGGTATAAAAACTACGTTACGTTTAGATATAACGATAATTTTAACTCTCCTTCTTTTGTTATTGTTATTCACAAGTTATAAGATCTAATTCCGTTATTGACCGGTCGGGCATAGGTGGACTTACATGGGGGCTGGGGTGGGTCCCCCCTCCCTCCTAAAGTTTGAAAAAAAAATTATTAATGCTGTTAATATGTGGTTGTCCATCGACATAATAAGACTGAAAGAAAATGATTGTCTTTTGTGGCTTATATGCAGTAAAAGATAATTTGATTGTCCACCGTCAGGTTGTGGTTGTATTGATAGTCTGTATGGTGACACTATAAGTGTTTACTGGTCTAGGCTTTGTGCCTAGTTTCTTTTTGTTGTGTTTTTGTTTTAATTTCCTATTATTTCAAAAAAAAGAAAGATAATTTATCATAAATATGAATTTGAATGATTTCATTTCTTACTTTGATGGGTTTTATGTTTATCATTTAACATAATATAACTTCACTTTCCTATACACACATTAAAGAGGTAGGGTCCACATGTTTTTCTTTCCCTTTCATCATTCCAATTTCTCTCTCTCTTGATGTGAGAGTTGGAAACAACACTTACATTATGTTACATAACACTAATAAAACCCTACTTTTATAGTTATATATAGTTTTGAAAATGAAAACATACCAATATATAAATACACCTTATCCATAAATACCTTGCTAAGCTGGCAAGGAATATTGAGAATTTTGCCATTCTCTAGACTAAAAATGTTCTAGTAATTTTTTTCATTAATAATTTTATTATTTTAATATTAAAAAAACACACATTGGTGTTAGTATAGCGCTTTGAGAGCTCAAGACTTCTCTATTTATGTTGCTTTCACCTTTCGATTTAAATTCTAAACACGTATTGTGTTGTTTAAAAAAAAAAAATTATTCTAGATTTTTGTTCTCATCCCACTTACCCACTAATGCAAAAAAAGTTTTTTTTAGATAGCTTGAAGGTATTCCCACATAACCTTTTCAAACTATTTTGTTTTCGGAATACGACTTCAAGAGTAGTTCCTCATTGAAACAAATGGTACATTGAATCACTGTCACTAGAGGCAAAAAAATTATGATACATTTTACAAAAGTTATAGCAAATTTTTTTTATATCTAAAATAATTATGCAATTTTATTAGGTTTTTCCTGGCGTTTGGTTGAGGAGAAATTTTTTGAATACTAGGGAAATGTAATTGATAGGGAAATGGTTGGAAAGTGAGTTTGATAGGAAAATGTAAAAAAAAAGTTGTTTGGTTGAAAAAAAATTTAGCAGGCAAATTAGATAAGATTTATAAAGTCTATGTTTGGTTTGAGGTAAAATATAGATAGGGAAATAAGTGACAATTACGAAAATATCCCTGTGTTTAAAATTTTTGAAAAAATAAAAAAAATTGTAAAATAGAGAGAAACGCGAAAAATAATGAAGACCATGCTGACAGATAGAAACCTGCGAGGTCATAAAGGTTTGGAACTTCACTGTTCTTTCATTGTGTCTTCTAACTATTTTAGTTCGCTTCATCTGGGAATGGAACAATTGCTACAAAAATCATCATCTTCTTCTAGAAAGACCATAACATTGGAAAAATGGAATGGTTTATCATCCACAAAGCTCTCAAAAACTTTCACCATCAAGGCTTCATCGTCCTCTTCCTCTGTCTCTATTCAAAGGTTCTTTCTTCCCTTTTTTCCATCATCATCACCCAATTTTCTCTTTCTTCCCAGTTTTCCATGCTAAAGCTTCATTAACATGAAATAGGAATGTGCAGTTGCCTTATCATGAAAGTGTATAGTGTGCAAACTTATGGGTTTCGTTCTTCTTCTTCTTCTTTGGAGTTAAGCTATAAAACTTGCTTGTTTAACCTGTAACTTGCAACATACTTACAACAGAAAAACCATGTTATATTGCAAGCATTTCTAGTTAAAACTGTGTACACTGTGTCCTTACACAGGAGCCAAAGCCAAGACAACAAAGTTTGGGAACAATAGCACCCACCTTCATTGGTTTCATTGTTGGTTCACTAATCTCCCCTGCATGTCTTTGGTTGTCTTGAACCAGTGAACCAGATTGGCTTTGTTCTCAGAACCAGAATTTATCTTTTTTTGTTTTTTGTTTGAATGTAATCCATTGGAGTAGACTTTTTCACCTTCACAATTTAAGAGGTTCGGGTTTTGATTGTGAATTACAGCAGGAATTTGATTTTTACATTGAACTGTCCCAAAACATTCGCGCGCGAACAGATGGGGTACGCTCGTCATTAGCTCTCTTGCCCAATGTCACCATTTACCTAGCTAACATACAATACCATATATCAAGAGGGATACTTTAGCCGGCTTTCTCATTCAGATAGACGTCCAAGTTGTTTCTGTGGCAATCTCATTTAGGTAGCAAAATATTCAGAATCCCTAAACCAAACAAAGGCACCCAATTATCTCACTTCTCACTTACCCATCTATCTCAACATTTTCCCCCAACCAAACACACCCTAACAGACATTTTTGCATCCTTAGTGTGATCATTGCAACCAAAGCTGATATTATATTTTCATAATAGTAATATAAATTTTCGCCCCCAATCATATAATTTTCTAGGTCCGCCACTATGGCTGGGATTTTTGGATCACAGGTTCAGCCAGTGTGTCATCGCTTAAACTGTGTGACCCGAGTTAGTACATGAAATGATGAAAACCTAAATTTTATACATGAAAATACTCAAATACATGTAAAAAATTTATTATGCAGGGCTGCAAACATACATAGTTTTTGTAGGGATAAAAGAAAGTCATATATGGTAACCACATAGAGTATATTGTAAAAGAAATAAACAAAGAAAAAAAAGAAAATTCAAGTATAATTCCTCTACCAAATATCCTCAACTAATCATGTTTAATAATTATAAGACATTTACCAATAACTCTTCCCATAAAAATGGATTTGTAAATAATCAATATGTTATATTCTCTCAATCTACTGTTTCGCAAATTGCTTCAGTCTTTAAAGTTGGAATTTGAAATCACTTTAGGAGAGTATGCTACAAACAAACAAAATTACAACAAACTTTAAAAGAAGTTTCACACTTTTTTAAGACATGATGGGACAACTTTGGTTTTTTTTTTTTTTTTTTTTTTATAATAAAAATGCATGACCTGGTAGTTTTGATGACCTGATCGAGTCACCAATTTTGATAAAATCCGACTGATTGAAACTATTTTTTATCGAGTTTGATACATAACCGGTTCAAGTCTTGACTCGACCAATTGACCGATTTTCGAATCAACTCATGGTTCGAGCCACGTCTGTTAACACGGGTTATTTATACTACAATTACATCATGAGAACTGCTTTCATTTATTGTAAGGTGTCAATTTTCTTTCGGGGTATTGTTGTTAAGGAGAGCTGCCTCTCTACTCATAAGAGAAATGATGGCTGATAAAAATAGGTTCTCTGGGATAAGATACAAGGCGAATGCAGGTTCTCCCTTGCAGAATTTTATTTTATTTAAAGCTATTTATTTTAAATCTAAATCAAAAGCCGACTTGAACATGAAGGTAAACAATTTAATAACAATAATATTTCTTTCATAAAAACATTATCATATAAATGCTCGTAAAATCTAATATGTGGCGTGCATGTGATGAAAAAAGTAAGAGAGAAAAAAACAATTACAATGAAAAGTTCATAAGTTTATGAAAAACTTTTCTCGTTATAAATAACATAAATGAATTGACAAATTTAATGTATGTCGATTAATTATTAATTTATTTATTAAAAATAATTTATAATTAAAATTTTGCAAAAAAAATAAAAAATCATCAGTTCTTTTAAAAATAATCAAATCAAAACATGGTAGATGTTAATAAGTGATTTGGACACTTTAACAATAGATCAGATAAGTGATTTAAAAAAAAAGCGCTTAATAAGATTTCTTTTTGTTCGGAGTAGGATAATGCTCGAAAGCTGATGAATAAAGCCAGTGGAAAAGCCTAACAGATGAGAGAAAGAGAATAGAGATAAACCCCGCCAAATGTTCAATGGCAACTCTTTTCCAATTACACGCTCCCGCTCCTATCTCTTATACTCTCGCTAAAACCCTAAACCCCATTTTCCCATTCCATAACACTATTCCCTTCTCCCCTCCGATTCTTTGCGCGCTTTCTCGCCGAAAATCTTTCTCAGTTCCTCGCCGGAGCCTCCCCCCCTCCGTCCTACGGTATTGTGCCGGCAAATCCTCAGGAAGTGTCGATGACGAAGAAGGATCGGAGGAGTTCGACCAACTCGACTATTCCGACAACGATGACGTTGATGTCAACGCGCTCGAGCAAGAAGCGAAGGACGCAGTCCAAGCGTATTCAAGCTCTCTGTCTCAGATTTTGAGTATTGGTTAGTCTTTGTTTCGTTCAGGCTCGGAGTCGTTGAGTTTTTGCTTATCTTTGCAGTCTTCATTAATAATCTTTCTCTGTTTGATGATTTCAGAAGATGAGAAAAATGATCGCGAGGAAACAGCTCAATCTCACAAGAGGAGTAAACAGAGAAAAAAAATTGTTAGTATAACATTCAATTTTGTTAAATATATTAAGGTGACCAAATGGGCAAATTCTGGAACTCCATACAATTTGAAAGAATTCAGGATAAGTTGCATGTGTTAGGCGGTGAAGGACTTCAATAGAACAAATCATAATAGTGTGCTTGACACGGTATCTTAACCAAAATTTTTAAGACAATGGATCTATGGGTCTTGTCCTCTCTTAACTTATTATGGGACTTCATTGCGCATGCTTGAATATTTAACATTCACCTCTCAAGTATATGTCCTCCTCCCTCACGCGCAGACGTCTTTCAAAGTATTTATGGGATTACCGATCAAGAGAGAATTGGCCAATGCTTCACAGTATAGGTTAGACACAAATCCAAATACCAATAACCATTTCCACATAATTAGCCCAGCCAAATCATATGCTCTGATATAACTGGTTAGGCAGTCAAGGGAAGCTTAATAAAAAGGAGACCTTCATCAATGAACTAAGCAACAAGTTACAATAGTGTGCTTAACACCATATCTTGGTTCAAAACCTTAAGAAAATGAGTTTACGAGTCTTTTCACTTATATGGTTATATTAATGTGAGATTTCATTACTCACACTTGAATTTCCAACATTCTTTCTCTCGTTTGAGTCCTAACGGCTTGTAACACTTATTTTTAAACAAATAATTTTTCTTTATTGTTTGTAACTTGTTAGGACTTGAATTATTTCTTTTGAAGAGATTGAAATAAAATATGGTCGTTTGCTGAACCTTGTCTAATTTGAATAGCAGATCCCTGACAATCTTCTCCCAAGGGTTGCAATTGTTGGAAGGCCAAATGTCGGCAAATCAGCGCTGTTTAATCGTCTTGTTGGGGTATTGAATGTTTCTTCTAGCTTTGATTTTTTCATTTAAGTTTTAATGAAACTGTTCTAGGGAAATCACATTGGAAATTTCAACACGTCTGTAATCTGAATGGTGAATTTGATTTATTACGAAAGCTGTATCTTTCTGCATAAATTGTAGGGAAACAAGGCAATTGTGGTAGATGAACCTGGGGTTACCAGGGATCGTTTATATGGTAGGTCATATTGGGGAGAGCATGAATTCATGGTAGTGGACACAGGTGGGGTTCTCACTGTTTCAAAATCACAATCTTCTGTTATGGAAGAGCTGGCTATTTCTACTACCATTGGTATGGATGGTATTCCACTTGCCTCAAGAGAGGCAGCAATTGCCAGGATGCCTTCAATGATTGAGAAACAGGCAATTGCAGCTGTGGAAGAATCATCTGTTATTATATTCCTGGTTGATGGTCAGGTATTTTGTATGCTGGCATATTATATATCTTATATTTTCCCTTCTCCTCCAAGTCTCTATCCATTTTTTTTCTTCTTATTTTTATATAATAAATAAATAAAAGGATAGCAGGATATGTAAGAGAGTGGTATTATATTACTTGTATTAAGTTTTGTCGGGGTTATAAACCCATGGTGATTCCTCCCGGGCCATCAGAATAATTAGACAGTTTTTGGTAATAATGGAATCTAGCTGAATCTTGGAAGCTTTTAGTTGTATTTTTCTGCATTGAGCTATTTGAGGTACCATCTGGCTACAGTTAACATATTTGTACACCATAAAAATAGGATATCAATTTTGTTTGTTTTTATACTTATTTTAAATGCATGATATGATCAACTTTTTCAATAAGCTACTCTTAATCATGACCTGTAGACGCTGATGATAATTATGCTGAACAGGCAGGTCTAACGGCAGCCGATGTGGAGATTGCTGATTGGCTGCGAAAAAACTATTCAAATAAATGTGTCATTCTTGCAGTTAACAAGTGTGAATCTCCACGGAAAAGAATTATGCAAGTGTCCGAATTTTGGTCCCTTGGGTAAGCTATGTCGGTGAGGATGCCCTCTCCTGGGTGGGTGGGTAGCTTACATGCCTGAGGTGTGGCTAAACACAGTCGAATGTGGTCATGACACTAACTATTTTAATAAATAATGCACTTATTTTGATGTTTCCTTGACATAGATATCTAGGAGTACAACTTGATCTGTGGTATGTTATGTTTGGTTTTGATGTCAAATTCATGGCTATGATTTCAAATGTGCCTCAACAAGTATGTTAGTTGAGCGGTTCGAAGATACAATTGAGGTCAAAGGTGGTATTGATACTTACTTTTACTTTATCAACATTTAAACTTAATTAACCATCAAGGGGAATTGGATTAACCACTTATATTAGTGGTTAACTTAACTAAATTTTTTTAATTATGATGTGGTTAATGTTAAGTTTTGGTTAGTTCAACTTAAATATGGATAAGGTGTGAATACCACTTTTGACCTCAATTTTATTATGGAATCACTCTTAGTCACAATTTACTTTGTTGTTTACTATGTGCAAGTGCAACTTCATGTTTCCTCTTATTATTTCATATGAGCAATTATAAGGAGGGAAATGAGTATGGTCAGGCATAAGGATGTAGATCGTTATGTAGTTCCATATATTCATGTGATTATGATATGACAGCAATTACATATTTAATAAAGAAACTTCATTTCTGTTGCTGATTTGGACCTTTTAGAAGTCATGAAGTTATTCAGGATTAGCATCATGAAACATGTTGAATATATTAAAATTAAAAGTATATAAGATAGACAAAACTTTATCTCTGACAATTAAAAATCTAAACAAGACCCTCCTTCCCCACAAGAAAAGACCATGTAATAGAAAAATTTTAGTTACTGAGGATGCAAAGTGAAATTCTGAACCATGTTGTTTATTGATGCTTTCCTAACTGTAATATGTTGTAATTAACAAATTGGTTGCTGTGGTTACTATATCAGGTTTGAACCAATTCCAGTATCAGCTATAACAGGGACTGGAACTGGAGATCTTCTTGACCTTGCTTGTTCAGGGCTACAGAAAGTTGAGGTTTGTTTTCCATAAAGGTTGAATTCTCGTCTGTATGTATCATTGTCAATGAGTAGCTTTAGGTGCTATTTCTATTTTGTGTCGCAAGCAAGTTGATTTGGCTATATTATGCATTCACCTACCAATAATATCATTAGATTCAGTTGGAAGCATTCTTCATCACCGTACAATCAGGGATCAACTTGTTTTATTCTTTTTCTAGACCCTTGCTTTTTAATCTTTTCATTTGGGTTCATTGATCACTGACCCCAACTAGTTTGGGATAAATGTGTTGTTGATGTTGAATTTATTTTGTGCTAAACAATAGGAACCGGAGAATATTGATGAAGAAGATTATGTTCCTGCAATTTCAATTGTTGGTAGACCAAATGTTGGCAAAAGTAGCATTTTGAATGCACTGGTTGGTGAGGACAGAACAATAGTCAGCCCTGTCAGTGGCACTACACGTGATGCTATTGATACTGAATTCACTGGAGCAGATGGTCAGGTTTGATTTTTTTGGTGACTAACTAGTAACCACTGTGTGTAGTCCACAGTAAAAGCTAGTGACTACTTAAAATGTTTTATTATGTGCTGTGAGAATGAAATTTGAAAAGGATTAGTTGTTTATAAGGTTTTACCCATCCTAACTTTGTTGGTTTAGGGCTGTATATGTTTTGGATCATAACAGATTGTAATAGTGATTTGGTAAGCTTTTAAAATTTTGAGTCAGCACAAAAATTAATTTCTTATTTTCTTTCTCTAGAAATTCCGTCTTATTGACACTGCTGGAATAAGGAAAAGAGCATCTGTAGCCTCAGCTGGCAGTACAACAGAAGCTTTGTCAGTGAATCGAGCATTTCGTGCTATTCGTCGTTCTGATGTCGTTGCTCTTGTCATTGAGGCCATGGCTTGTATCACAGAACAGGTTCCGGATTAATGCTTTTATTTGTTACATGAAAAAACAGGTTGTTTTCCTTTTGGTTATAAGCAATTACTACATATAGGCCCCGGTTGTTTAATTTATTCCCATAGTTGTTTTAAAAAAAAAAATTATTTCGAATGTCTCTTGAAGGACTACAAGATAGCTGAAAGGATAGAAAAAGAAGGGAAAGGTTGTGTGATAGTTGTAAACAAGTGGGATACTATACCAAATAAAAACCAGCAGACCGCAGCGTACTATGAGCAAGATGTCAGGGAGAAGCTGCGCAAACTTGACTGGGCTCCAATTGTTTATTCTACTGCAATAGCTGGTCATAGTGTCGACAAGTATGTTTTAGCTGGAAAACTATTGATGCATTTAAGCTGCATAGTATGCTAATTTCATGCTTTCTTTGAATTCTCCCAGCTTTTCCATTACAACAAGTTCTCCCTTAGGCATTCATATTTATAAGCAATTATCAATTTGAAATTTCACATGGTGAATGAGGCAAACTATATTTTGTTGAAATTAGCCGTTGCGGTCATGGTACACTTATTTAGTAGTCTCGTTATTGGCTCTGCACATTTTTGCATATACTGGTATTTCTTGATGTGTGGTAAAAAAAGTCCTTAGTTATTCATGGGGCTCTGAGTGTTACACATGGTAATGGCCTTAAGAACTTGGCCGTTTTTGGAAGCTTTTCTATTTGGATATGGGCTAACTTAGTTTTTCTGGCTGTAGCATTTAATTAATGATATATTTAAATTGAGTGGTGGATAAGTTTTCTAGCATGTAGACAATAACATGGTATCATAACTGTTGTTAAAATTATGTCTTATTCAGTTTTGATATTTTTCATTTCCCCAATTGAATAGCTCATTACTTATTTTTGTTTTGAACAAAAGGATTATTGATGCTGCAAGTGAAGTTGAGAAGGAGAGATCAAGAAGACTTGGTACTTCTATATTGAATCAAGTAGTGCAGGAAGCAGTAGCTTTTAAGCCTCCTCCCAGGACAAGAGGTGGAAAAAGAGGCCGTGTTTACTATTGCACTCAGGTGTTTGTATCATGCAATGGTGGTGGTTAATAATTAGTAGTTGGTATTGTATGTCTTTAGCTTACTGTGGATGTTTGGATGTCCCTTCTATTGTTCATGTTAAAGACGTTCCAATTGCATTTGGTGCAATGTTAAAAGGAAAAATATATTATACTAGTGAAATTTTTTTTCAATGATAAAATGAACGAAATGATTAGTGCTACAGGCTTACTTATGAACTCCTTTGTTTATGCTATGTAATGTAATCATAGATTACAATATTATTACGTGGTGGTATCTTGTATATATTCTAACTGGGAGTTCTTTTACAGGCTGCTATAAGGCCGCCTACGTTTGTGTTCTTTGTCAATGATGCTAAACTTTTTCCTGAGACTTTCCGGCGCTATGTGGAGAAGCAACTGCGTTCAGATGCAGGCTTTTATGGTACACCCATTCGGCTTATGTGGCGGAGCAGAAGGAAAATGGGAAAAGATGAAGGTCTGTATTTGTTTGAGGTGTTTGTAGTATCAATATTGTTATTATGTCATCTGCTTCTTGCTTTGGTTTTTTTTTTTTTTTGGCTGCCCCCTCCCCCAAAAGAAGGTTAATGATGCTATAGACATGTATATATGATTTTCTCACAGGCAAAGCCGTGACAAGGACCCAAGATAATCTTACGTCACGAGATCAAAAATTGGTATCAACTACACCATAGGATCAGACATTTTATCAATGGAAGAACTGGCTGATTCTTTGTGTTGAAAAAAGTGAAGGGACATTTTATTAGGGATTACTAAATGCTTGTCTTCCCTGAAAAATTTCAAGGTTAGTAAAAGCTCCACAAGGACCGGATTTATGCCTAAGGTTTGGATGAGAATCTGACATTTACACTATATAGGGATCGTGATGTTTCTGTAATTCTTTAGTAAGCACTTTTAAGTTTGTAGTTATGAGGTTCTAGCACATTCATTGTAAATAACTACATTGTAAATTTATAAGTTATTGGAATTCTAATTCTGTGACTATTTTTTCAAATATTTAAGCGGGGAACTTTTCTACGATCACATGGTCGATACTCTGGAAAGATGCTCAAGTTTTTGCTGAACAATTGCATAATTTTTATGTAAGAATGCTATTTGGTATGAATTACTTTTAGCGAAAATTGTTAAGAATTTGGTAACTATAGTATAATCTAAAAAAATGCATTTATGTATATTTCACGGAATCTACATAGTACTTTAAAGTATGTTCCTTGCTGACATGTATAACGTTACGTTACATCCATCTATGCATATGCAGCGTAACGGGACAAATATGTTTTTTTTTTTTTAATATTTCACCGGTTTAGTTCTTTGGTCAAACGTATTATCAGACTAATACAGAAAGACGCACATCAAGTGTCTGCGTATATATACACGCACAAGGTAGGTGCGTGTATGATGAAGACTGACTATGACGTGCTATAAACGGATACTTGATCATAACGTGATAAGATTGGATAGACTTAAATGTGCACCTGAGTTGGCGTGTCTATACCGAGATGCGCACCTGGTTTTGATATGTCTTAACTAAATTGATATGAGACGCGTAGTTGATACTGACGTATCTTGATTGAATTGACATGAATCGTGCACATGTTAGGTGCACAACCATACATATAGATACCTGTTGCGCTTCTTTCTGCATTAGTTTGATAATACGTTTGACCAAAAAACTAAATAGATAGAATATTTCAAAAAATACATTTGTCAGGTCAGAAATTAGTAAAGAAATTAGCAGCTTTAAGAATAAAGAAATTAGTAAATCACAGTTACAAGTTACAACAAAGTAAACTACGACTGGCCAAATCGTTTTAACTGTATAATAGCATGTTTAGTTTTTTGTTTATAATGTCTCAAATCATAATTTGGGTAAAAACATATTTTTATAATTTCCGTCCAAATTATAGTTTGAGTCTCAAACAAAAAACCCAAAATGCTATAAGAAAGGATTGAGTATTTATTATAGAATGTGTAAATAGAGTTTAACTCACAACACTGCCCGGTTCTCTAGCAGCGGTCATGTATTTGATAATTGTTTTCAAATCCTTCACAACAGCTGCAAGTAAACAAATGTCTGCAGCTTCTCCATCTCTCTCTCTTTTTCTTATTTGTTTAAAAAATTATCATTGCCTAAACACCACCTACATTCCCATTCTTCTTTAGTGGAACTTGGACGTGAAAATGTATGTTGGTCGTTGCTGATAATTTACTTTTTTTTCTTTTCTTTCCCACCACTTACACCTAACCTCTTTATTTCACAGCACCACAACCTTTGTTTATGGATAAAGCCTTAATGGCATTTTATTTTAGTCCTTTTGTGGTAGTTTCGGCTTGAATAGCGAGAGCAGCAAACATGACAGTGTTTCTCGAGAGGGTCCCTAACAAACATAAACAAGAAGGTCGGATAGCGGGGGCAATTAAAAATAAATTAGAAAAATACAGTTGTAAATTTATCCACACTATGTGTCATATAAAAAATCTAAAGTTTAGGGAAGAGTTATATACCTGTTATATAAATTTATAGTAGACTGTTTTATTTTATATTCGTAAGAGGCTGATTATATAGATTAAACTTGTGACACAGAGACAATGTCAACGACTGTGTCAAAGCTCCCCTTTATAAGTATGTATATGAGTATGACAACAAAAATGGAAAAATTAGGAGTAATGAAGGCTACACGGTGAAAAAAATAATTTAATAAGAATCTGTTTAAATATATAGATAATTATTGAATGAATCAAAGTGATGGGACGACTCATTATTAAAAAAATAATTAATATTGCGAACTCGTCTGGTTGTCTAATTTTTTTAAAATAATAATAAAAGTTTCTAATTAGTTATGCATTTGACTATTTCCCCCCTATAAACATAAGGTTTTGCATCTATCATTTAACATGATCACAATAATTTTCTTACACACATAATATTTTGTGGGACTCACAATTTTTTAAGCAAAAAAAAAAAAAAAAATCGGCACGCAAAACGAATCTCTATAACATAACACAATCACTTTTCCTACAAAATAACTCTTATAAAACCCATAAACATAAAATCAGCTAGTTTAATGCTAATCATGCATATTCATAAAAAAATTAAAAAATATTCTATTTAGTTATACATTATTTGATCATGTTTTCCAGTAAATATAAAAACTTAATGCTGATTGACAGAAGAGTTTTGGTGCTCTAGGAGTATCAAATTTTAAGTTGTACAAATCAATAAAAATGTGATAACTAATCCGAAGAGAAGAGAAGAGAGTAAATTTTTTTTTTTTTTTATAGAAGTGTCAATTTCTCAATTGAAGGAGCACATGGATGGAGGCAGGAGCACTAAATTTTTTTTCGCTGACTGAAGCTTCTGCCATATCAGAACAGTCTTAATGAATATCGGAGTGGACTAACCAGTCCAACCGGTTAACTCAAAAATAGAATCCCAAACTGGCAATGAGATTTAAAGTTTTCAGCACTCACCATTAAATTATTCTATAGTTTTTTATTTATTATTTATTTATATAAATTTAACTGGTTCAATTGGTAATTTACCAGTAGAACCTGTATTTTGATCGAGTCGAAATCTTATTCAAGTTCTTTAATATTATATTAAAGTTTAGATTTAATATGTCACGCCTTGAGAAGTATTAATCAAAATGCCACACTTTAAATTCTTTTGAACCCCCCTGAATGGGCTAGTTCTATTATATGATTAGGGATGATAATTTTCCACATGACACTATAATTTTGTATTTAGGTCAACCCATTTTTATATTTGTGTTGCGTTCATATTAATAAAAATTGACAAAAAAGTTATATTATAATTTATGTCAACCTGCATATACGCCTCTAGCTTGTTAATCTTTTTTTATTTTTGGGATAATGTAGGAAAATAAACACAACAAAACAAAACAGAGGCTAACTGTTAATACATCTGGGCACCCCATTGCCCATACAATCCAAAAATAGCAAGGGTTCGCAACTAGTAGGGGGAAGGCTATACTAGGTGGTGCTATCAGCATTCACAGCATAATGGGAGGCTAACCAATTTGCCACCGTGTTTCCTTCTCGGAAAGTATGAGAGATTTTCTATCTTCCAAGGTTTATCCCATAAGTTTTGAATAGATTTCACACCTTAGAGATCATTTTTATAGCACCCATGGAGTCACTTTCTAATACCACCTGCTGCATACCTTTTTCCCAGGCCCAACTTAAGCCAATCAGCATTCCCCATAGCTCAGCCACGAGGGCAGTTCCATCTCCCAGCTTCCTTGAATATCCCATAATCGAGTATCCAATAGAATTCTTGAAGACTCCTCCACACCTAACCTTGGATCCCGTTCCCAGCATAAGCACCCTCAGGATTAGCTCCAATGCCAATTTCCTTCGTTACTAGTGTTAGAGAATAAAATATAAAGTATTAAAAAGACCATAATCTATCACCTTAAGGTTTTGGGTTGAATTGATTTTTAACATGGTATCAAAGCTTCAGTGACCATGAGGTCACGAGTTCGATCCTCACCGTCTCTCCACTTTCAGGTGAAATTAAGAAAAGCACAAGGCAGACCAAAAAATGGACTTGTGCAGCACAAGACAAACCAAAAATGGGCTTGTGTCATATCCACGCTTCAAGTCCAAAGTTCTCACGTGAAGGAGTGTGTTAGAGAATAAAATATAAAGTATTAAAAAGACCATAACCTATCACCTTAAGTGGGCGTTTGGTAGAGGAGAAATTTTTTTTTATCCGAAAATCACGATTTTCAGGAATATGATGAGAAAATGAGTTTTATGGAAATATTATCAAAAAATTGTTTGGTAGACTAACATATTCCCGAGAATATTGGGTTAATTTTCTTGATACTATGTTTAGTTGTATTAAATTTTCCCTTGCTATAGAAATTCTAGAATACCACCTATTGAATAGTATTCCTGGATGGTTTTTTCAAAAAAATTTACACACAAAATAAAATCCCGAGAAAATCAGATTCTCGAGAAAATTTTAAAATGCCTGTACCAAGGATGTATTCTTATTTACCCAACCAAGGAATCCCGGGAAAACAAAAAAAATCCTCCTACCAAACGGGCCCTAAAATTTTGAGTTAAATTGGTTCTTAACAAGAAAATAAATTTATCTTGAAGTTTACCTATTCCAGGCATCCAATTATCCTTGCAGAATTTTGAATTGACATCTCCGATCAGAATTCGAGAGCCATCACAAACATGGTTCCAAATTATCATCTCCGACCATCCAATTAATCTTCTTTAATGTTAACTGAAATTTCTAATGAGATATGAAAGCTCGCCATACCTTTAATGGAAAGCTTGAGTTCGTTGTCATTTGGGCAAAGTTTGTTACGTATACATTTCACTATTATACTTTACACAAAAGTAATGATAGTGTGTCTTGTTTTTTCTTTTTTCATTTTTAACTAAATATGCTATTATGCTGTTGCATACTTTTTTTCCAAACATGTATTCTCATAGTTACGTTGATAAGTTTAAAAAGTAATTATCATATTTTGAGTGTAGTTGGCGGAAAACATGTGAATAAAAATATGCTAGCAAAAACTGTATAACATATATAAAAGATAAAGATATTGGGACAATAGCGTTGCCCCTTCTCCCACAGGCCACTGTACTGCCTGCAAAAAATTTGAATATTGACTCCAAAGAAATAGAAAATTTAAGAAGAAAATGGTACTTCACGTGCTAAACATGGACAATTGGGCATGAAGTTGAATTGATTCGCTTTTATATGTTTTTTTAAATGATCATCTCATATAAAAAAATTTCACCTCTCATTCACATCACGTTTTATTTGATTAATTATATTAAAATTTATTCGTGGCTGAAATTCAGTTATTGAGAACTTTGTCTCTTATTAGAATTTGATTTGATTTATGTTACACACTCTTGGACTATAAATATTCTTTTGGTTACTTATATATAATACATTATTTGATATTAATCAATTGAATTTCTCTTTCTCTATTTACTTTTATAAGACATAATTAATTTTTAACGGAATTATTCTTTTTTTTTTTTTGGATATTAACGGAATTATTCTTTTAATCCAAATACCCACCTCTTCCTATTAGATGCATGAAACATCAATGCTAACGATATGATCGAGAAATGTGCTTCTCCATTTCTAGTAATGAATGCGATGGATGGTTGTTTGGTAAGTATATCTCGAGGCTAGACTCCATATTGAGTAATTTGTCAATTCATTCTTTGCAACCCATATATTTCTGAGTTGTCTTTGTCTTTTTCTTTTTTACCACCCCAATGTGATCATTTTTTATATCCCAGGTAAATAATATGGGTTTATCATTTATCATATTATATTATAGGAAATAAATTTATTTTTTACATGCACATAAATGTATGTGAGGTCTATATCTTTTCTTTCTTTGTCTTCTCCTCTCACTTGGACCCACATGCCCTACACAAGTTTATGTGTACTAGGAGATAAATTTATCTTATATTTAGAGATGACAAAATGAATTCGGCTTGCCTCGCCTACCAAATGGGATGGACGGACTGAGTTTTACAATCCGCCAACCTGTCTAACCCGCTCCACTTATCATGTTTTTTTAATGCAAAATGGGTTCGGCCTGACGGGGCAACCCACCGCCAAACAAGACAGGGCAGATTGAGTTTTTCAATCCACTTTCAAAAGCGAGACAAAGTGGGTGAGCTCGTTGTTTAGCGGATAGATAGCAGGGCGAGCCGGGTTGCCTACTTTGCCACCTTTATGGTTACAACATGAGAAACAATAAACTCAAAATATATATATATATATATATATATATATATATATATATATATATATATATATATATATATGAAGTAAAATATTTATACTATCACTTTTGTCTAATATCAATCCACTACCACTCTAATCACTTTTCAACAACTTTTTATCAATCCACTACCACTCTAATCACTTTTCAACAACTTTTTTCTCTCTCTTGAGCCCATTTTTTACTGAAAATTTTGATTCAGCAATGATAGTGGATTGGTAGTAAAATAAAATTATATATATATATATATATATATATATATATATATATATATATATAAGTGAAGAGGGGATATTCATACTATCTCATTTTTTTATTACCATCCACTATAATTATGTATTCTTCAAAATACATAGTTATAATATTAAAATTATTTTTTTTGTCTTTCTAATCAGCCAACAAGTTTTTGAAAAAAGAAAAAATAATAATTTTAATATTATAACTATGTAATTTCTAGAATAGATAGCTATAATGGATGGTAGTAGATAGATAGTAGTGAAAAAATGAAGGAAGATATGACATTATAAAATATGAACATGAACAGGTCCCGAAACCAAGTGACCATGCATTAATTAATATAAGAAGGAAAGTGAAGGCACAGTAAAAATGCATATATATAATATAGCTTCGACTTTACATGGAGTTGAGATCTGGAGAGAGATAAGTGAGCCCCATTCTACCCACACAAAAATGCACCACCCATTTCACCCACACCACTCAAAGACAGATGAACACGCGGCTATTGTATGAGAAGGAGGGGACGACTAGCAAACTGCAATTGTAAATTACCTTCAAAGCTTCAACTGCACTCAAAGAGGCAGTCTCTCATTTTACTCCCACCTACCCATCACCCGGTTATTTAATTTTAAACTTGTATCAAGTTATATTTATTTTATTGACAAATTATGGTTATTTCATTTAAGATATGTAGAAATTTCTTAAAAAAAAAACATCTAGTTAATTCATTTCAAACTTGTATAATAATTAATTAATTTAAGTTATATTTACTTTATTGACTCCAACTGTCCAGGACAAACTAGGAATGTTATTCGAGTGATTCGACTCACGACTGATCGCATAAATGGAAAATTTAACTTGCATAATACAGTAAAGAATAACAAATGCAATTTTGACCATTAAGCTTGGGTGAAGATTACTTTGACAATTTTTATATGGGAAATTGAACCGTTATGTAGCTGGAAGATAAAATTTTCTTCCTATAGATACATAGAAAACAATGCGAGCCTTTCTTTTTTAAAGTACAGCGAACCCCCATTGTCTCTACAAGAAATTGGGGGTCTTGTCCTCCAACATTACAGAGATAAATCCTTTTTTATATTATATTTTTTAGGGACTTACTTTTCTTCTATTATTGTAGAGAAGAGTTTTGTCTTCTACAAAAACAAACTAATACGAGGCCCATAGATTTTTTTTTTAAAAAAAAGGATATGCACATTTTTCAATAAATGTGCATGAATGTATTTTTTTTCTCTCTAGCAACAATAGAGTTATATTTTCTATTTTTTTAATATATCCCTTCGTATTAGAGTTTAATGAGCTCAAAAAGAAATAATATTAATAATTTTTATAGGGACAAGATCTTTTGACATTGGTGTTAAACTTTAAAATTTGACACCAAATTCTAACCGTTAATTTTCTCCGATCAACGGATATAATTTATTAGGAATTAATAATTAATTAATGAGTTTGATTGACAAAAATTATAACCGTTGATTGGCAGAAATCAACGGTTAGGATTTGATGTCAAATTTCAAAGTTTGACACTAATATCAAAATATTTTGATTACATAAGCTTTCTAATATCATATGAACAAGTCATTCAACCCACGAATTTATGGTGTTAGGTGAAGACTACAAAGTAATTTCTATATAATATTTTTCTAAAAAAATAATGATGCATGGATGACTCTTCTATTGGTTGCTTCACTTAAATACAGTTCAAGAAAAGTTTACTTAAATGTAGGCTTAATGGTTGTATTTTCAAGTGTCAAATCAGTATCGTTAATAATAAATTCAATACGTCAAGGAAAGGATAGAAATTAGAACGTGTGTCCTATCCAATATTGAATAATTATTGCACTTTTCAATAGTGACAGATATGAGGATTGGGGAATTAAATCTGCATGAATGATTGCCTAGTTTTGGTATAGCCATTTCCCAGTTTTAATTTTCTTTTCTGGGCTAACTCCCTCCTACCACAATAACTGGTGTGATGGCACAATGGAAAGAGCCATTTTTTACTTTGTGCAAAAAGCCTAAAACATTCTCCACAACAGTTATAAATACTGAGTGCATGAGAGAGGTTAAGCAGCAACACAAAGCGCCATAGAGACCATGGATACTTTGGGGAGAGACCTTAAGAACATGAGGGAGTATTATGAGAGTGGAAAGACAAAAGAAGCTTCTTGGAGAGAATCCCAGCTCAAAGGGTTGCGTCGTTTCCTCATAGAAAAAGAGGAAGGTATCTTGAACGCCCTCATGCAAGATTTAGGAAAACACCAAATTGAAGCTTTTAGAGACGAGGTACATGTTTTTCTTCAATCTTATTACAATTAATAATATTTTGGTGTCTTAAATCAATGTCTTCCTTGAGCAGTATTTAGAAGAAGAACAAAAAGATTAAATACTTTTTAGATTATCAAGATATGAAACATTATCTTTTATTTTTTTTTTACTAGTTTTTATTAGTAAAAATTTGTACATATTATCGTATTAGTCCTATGTATCGTGGGACATTTGGTTTTCGCAGATGGTACGATGTTGGAGGAATAAACAATCCTCATGTCTAATTTCTTATTATTTGATCCATTCTTGCAGATAGGGACACTGATGAAGTCCTTAAATTTCGCATTGAAGTTTCTGAAAGATTGGATGTCAGGCAAAAAGGTAAGATCTGTGTGTCTGGTCCTTCAAAATATGGAATACTAAACTGTTATGACTTTACCATCATAATTCATTCGAAAAAACTATGATCATACACATGAAGTGACTAATGACCAATATAATTTTGATAGGCTAAATTGCCACAACTAGCATTGCTTACTAGCGCAGAAATTGTTCCCGAGCCTCTGGGTCTTGTCCTCATTATTTCTTCTTGGAATTTCCCCTTTGGTGAGTTATACTTGTTGGTTAGTTTTTGCAGCTAATTAAGAGATAGATTTCTTCAAGGGGGCCAATATATATGAACCAAAATCCTCTGAATTAACAAAAATGCAGGACTTTCCTTGGAGCCTCTAATAGGAGCAGTAGCTGCCGGAAACGCAGCAATCTTAAAGCCTTCAGAGTTGTCTCCTGCATGTTCTTCTCTAATTGCCACTGGCCTCGCAAGTTATTTGGACACTAAAGCCATTAAGGTTATTCAAGGAGGACCACGTGAGTGTGAGCAACTACTACAGCAAAGATGGGATAAAATCTTCTTTACAGGTAAACAGGATTAGTTTTTTCTCTTCTTCTTTTGATACTGTGTAACTATGAAGCACCGATACGCGTTTTCGATACGTTCTCGATGATACAGGATGTCAATTACCAAAGGATACGTGTCCGATACGCGTATCCGATACGTTGAAAAAAAAATTAAGGAGTATCGGTGCTTCGTAATGTAACTGTCATAGTCATTGATGAAGATTCTGTGAATGTAAAAACTAATACCAGGAAATGCACGTGTGGGGCGGATTGTGATGTCTGCTGCTGCAAAACATCTTACTCCTATTACTCTGGAGTTGGGTGGAAAATGCCCTGCAGTTGTTGATTCCCTTTCATCTTCTTGGGATATTGAGGTAGGTTCACTCATTCTTGGCACATTACACCAAAATTTCTAACTAAAATGAAAGACATGAACTGAGGTAATCCACAAGTTCATTTAGTTTATTATGTTCATTATTAATTTCAATTAACAAAGGGATGCTTCCTTGTAATAAAAAGGTTGCTGTGAAGCGGATTATGGTGGGGAAATATGGGACTTGTGCTGGTCAAGCATGCATAGCTGTCGACTATGTCCTTGTGGAAAATGGATACTGTTCCACAGTGGTATATCTCTTGAAATTGAAGTTATCAGGTTCACTGCTGTGTGTTTCTTGTTATATTTAATTTGGGGTGTGTGCTTACTCTTGGTTTTCTTTTAGGTAAAATTGATGAAAGCCTGGATCAAGAAAATGTTTGGAGAGAATCCAAAACATTCCAACACTATTGCGAAGATAGTTAATAAACAACACTTCTTAAGATTGAAGAATCTTCTTGCTGATCGAGATGTCAAAGAATCTGTAGTTTATGGTGGCTCAACGGACGAAGAAAACTTGTAACTAACACTCTACCCTTTCACTCGCTAGTTGCTTTCAAAATTTCTCATTTCCATTATAGTTAGTAGCTTATGAATTTACAACTTTAATTGCAAACATTAATACCTTACTTGACTCTTTCACTTTAAAGAAAGGTCAGACAATACAAGATTTACTTGGCCTAAAAAAAGGGGTAATTTGCTCAAATCTGTGCAGATTTATTGAGCCAACGATCTTGGTGAATCCCCCACTTGAAGCAGCAGTCATGGAAGACGAAATATTTGGTCCATTGCTCCCAATTATAACTGTAAGATTCATGGACATATATGTGACAAAAAAATTTCAATATTTTTCTTAGTAGCAGTTCATGAAATAGCCAAGTTCTGAGTTAGCCTATATCCTTAAGACATGCTTATACATAAATACTTTTTTCTCCAACTCGCGCTATGTGCTTCGTTTTCATTTCTCCCGTTAATAATTTGCAGCTGGAGAAGATTGAGGACAGTATTAAATTCATAAGCTCTAGGCCTAAGCCTCTTGCCCTTTATGTTTTCACCAAAAACAAAACTCTGCAGAGAAGAATGGTATCTGAAACATCATCTGGCAGCTTGACTTTCAACGATGCAATTCTACAAGTATTTACCCTCTCTAGTATCTACTACTAATCTTTTTACATATTTTATATACTTACTGTTTATCTTTGTTCTGTGCAGTATGCAGCAGATTCTCTCCCATTTGGAGGAGTTGGTGAAAGTGGTTTTGGCATGTACCATGGGAAGTTCTCCTTTGACACATTCAGCCACCAGAAAGCGATTGTCAGAAGAAGTTTCCTCACTGATTTTTGGTATAGGTATCCTCCATGGACACTCAATAAGTTTCAACTACTTGAGGTCTCTTACAACCTTGATTATCTTGGGTTGCTCCTTGTCCTGCTAGGCTTAAAGAGACCTTCAAAACGCAGATCTTATTTTGCTAGCTAGTGACTTGACAATATTTAATTATAGTGTTTTCTTATTTTGAAAAAAAAAAAGCTTGTTAAGAGTGCATCCCATAAGAATAGGTCTATACATATATCTGCAAGTGATCGGTATTTATAGGTTTGTGTATTCAATTCCTACTACATAGGTTGATTTATTATTATCCTGATGCTTGTTCAATGTTATAGTTTTTGTAAGAATTACTCAAGTGGTGCTCTATCACTGATTTGTAGTACTTATATTAGCCCAAACAAAATTTTATTCTTCAAAGAGATTAATAATAGAAGTTTTAACAGAACAGTAAGCAGTCTTTATAATATTTATGTTTGATTCACAACAAAGTACACTGGGAAATTAGTCTTACACTCAGAATTTTAAGAAACAAATTAAAATAATTCAAAATTAATGTGAATAAAAGTAATAATATTATATATAAAAAAAGGAAAATATTTTCTCCTTTTAAAGGAGAAATTTTTTCTCCTGCTAGTGACTCATAGTATAAGTGGGGCCTACAAAATAGAGGAGAGAAAAAAAAATTCAAGGTGAAACCCACTTATGATATGAGTCAGTAGTACGAGAAAAGTTTTCTCCTTTAAAAGAAAAAAATGTTTTCCCATAAAAAAAATACTAATACTAGATTTCTTAAAATAAAATGAAGGCTAAAATTCAAGAAATTTCCTTTAAGGTTGTTTCCCAACATCTATTTTGCCGTCAAGAGAGCCCATGGTGGGGATATGAATATCAATCGACTAAGTGACAATTCACCATAATGAGTGGACTTGATATTAAGTTTCAACCAAAACCTAAGTATTGAATTCATGGGTCATTTTATTTATATAATTTTCATTTAGTCGATTCCTAATTAATATAAGACTTTATCATTCATACTTAAATTGCCAACTATATTGTCCCGAAATGATTTTTTTTTTTTTGTTTAACTTCTTTTAGCTCGCCATGAATCCAAATTAACTGAATATATTGTTGATGTTAATGTTTGTCATTCTACTAGCTGAACTAGCTCCATACAAGTGTTTAATTTCATCAAATGAAAGAAGAGAGAAAAAAAAAACAATTAAAGGTATAATATAACCAGTTCAGAGCATGACAATTATTAACCAGTAAAGTTATCAAAATGCCTTGCTTTCTAATCAAATTTACCGAACAAATGAATTATAGAAAGTGATGCGCAGAAGAAGGAATCGTTTCCTCGAGTTTTAATTGACCTTTCATTCTTGTGGTTTAATTTGGCCATGCGCAAAGGTGTAGCGATAATTCATGCAGCTTATGTTGAAATGAAAAGGGACAAAATAGATAAATTCATTAACAAAGGCTCTACATAATGACTCGTTTCATTCAACAACCGTATTAACTATACCAGTAAAAAAAGCTACCAATTATTGAAGCTCAATTAATGGTTGCAGCTACGAAAGCTCATGGAAGACAAAACATGGTCGTATTTTGGTCCATGAGAGTTAAGCGTACACACGTGTCTCGCTAGTTTTGACAATTAGACTTACATGAGCAATAAATAATTGTGTCAATAAATAAGTATAAAATGGAACGGGATCAATGTACATAATTCTAAAAACAAAAAGTCTTATATCAAATTTTAATAGTTAATTTTTGTATATTTAACGATTATAATTTATTAATAATTAATAATTAATTAATGAGTGTGATTAATAAAAATCAACAATAAACATTTGATTAAAGATTTATTATTCTTATAGTAGTGTAAGAATAATCTACTCATATAAAATAATATTGGTCTGCAAAATGTTTTTTTTTTTTTTTTTTTTTACGTTAAATTATACATTTGAAGTCTCTTCTCCAATGCAATATACTTCATTTAGTGAATACCGATGCGCTAACCTTTATCTGCAATTGGTTTCTATTATTAAGGTATATAAGTATACCTTTTATATTGATTTCTTAGTGCTTTTGCAGAAATGCTCCAATCCATGGTGCAAAATTTCTCTTGCATGTTCTAGTGAATATAAATGACAGATAACACACGTACGTATCTATAAAAACTTATAATAAATTTAACCCTTCCCTATATCAATATAGTACACACCTTATAAAAATACCTAAGTCTACCACACAATCTGTTCAATATCTAAAACACATGGCCATGTGAGCTTTTATTTTCATGGCCTTTTCAGCCATGTGAATATCTTAAGCATAGAAGAGAATTTTCCCTGCTCCCTAACTACATGTTCCTTTCATTAAAAAGATGATACTTGGCTTAATTTTTTTTCCTCTCTCATCTGTACAATTAATATTATATTTTCTCTCTCTGCTTTTTGTCCCACTGAATAAATTATGCTCCTAGATCACCTGCTTTTTGTTCCACTGAATAAATTATGCTCCTAGATCACCTTAATAATTTTGTTAACCATAGGAGTGAATCAGGGGCGGATCCACATTGTTGCACTTGTCTGCAAGTGCATACAATAATTTTTTTATTTTTTTTTGGCAGACGACCCACACTCTTCTTTCAATGCTTAAATCATTTAATGAGTTTCTTTTTGGTCTTCTTTAAATGTAACTGATGCAGAAACTTAGAAATAGATATGGTTTACCTTTTTAAAATGCAATTTTTTTCTCACTTTTTTCCTTAAAAATGTTTAATGGGACGACCCTCACCGAGTAAAAATACCTTCTCCTATTAATATGTCATCCTATTAGTAGCGGGTGTTACATAACCTAAAGTCAATTGGCTCCAATTTCATGTTTCTTGGTTGTTTTTTATATTCATTTAAAATTTTCTTTGAAAAAAAATTCATATGCAACTCCATCATTAAATATGATGACATGAATTAAATTTTTTAGGTCCACCACTGGAGTGAATGGTGCAGACTAATCCATAATCCACTAAATTAGGAAAATATTTTCGATACTATTAATATACCGATCATTCAATATATTTTTTATCAAATATGAAAAAAACAACACATTTATATCATCATAATTATTATTATTATAGCTATTTTCTTTCATATAGATATATCTCTTTTTTCTTATTTTTAGTAAAGGAAGAAAAACTACTCCTAAATTTGAACTGTATGGGAGAAGACTAGCTTATGTTAATAGCTCTACTGTAGGCCGCCATCAGATGATAGTTCCTAGGCTTATTAAAAGTGTGGCTTATGATAACTGAACGGATAATACATTTAACTACTTGATGGAGAAATAATCCCAAACCGTGCGGTAACCACAACCGTATGCTTAAATCACCAGCTGACTAAATATCTTTTTTGATTCTCCGCAGATTTTAAGATGTTCGTTTTAGTCTTTAGTAAATAAGAAAAGCTATTTGTGGTTTCTAAAAAATTCAAAATAAACACATTTAATTGAGATCGTGATCTCTCACAAATTTAAAAAAGATCCACATTAGTACTTCAAAATAACTAAAATGAGTCCATTTCGAATTTCTTAAAAACCACAAATAGCATTTTTATTTGCTAAGGACTAAAACAAATATCGTAAAATTTGCTGAAGATCGAAGATGATATTTACTCTCACGAACTTAATTAACTACGCATCACATTTAGTGATGACTGAAAGGACATGAGGCAGGGAGATAAATATAATACGGTCAAATTGTATCCACAAAAATAAGTATTTTAGTATAACGGTGGGATATTATACATATTTTTTTATATTTATTTATTTTCAATAACGTAAGATTAGAATCTCAATTAATTTTATTAATTTTTTTTTTAAATTCTAATCTAATAATATTAGACATGAGTAGTTAGAATAGGTATGAAAAAAGATAAGTATAATATCCTATTTTTTATTATATTGTCAAGTTAATCTATTTTTATATATTGATTTTTTTTTAAATTGATTTATTTTTTAGTTGATTCTCAATTAAGAAATGACACATGTTAATTTTAATTTATATTTTTTTAAAATTCAAATTAATTTGTATTTTTTTAATTTTAAATATCGTTATATGTTTTAAATCTCTATGCAAATTCAATATGTATATTCCTTTTATAATTTTAAATATTTTTTCTTACATATATATTTTTAAATTTTCTTAAATTTAAAAATTTCCGATGCGTTACAAGCAATAATTGTTAATTTTATGTTTACATCTACTACCATTAAATTGTATCCATAAATCATAATAATCTCTTCCCGGTACAATTTTGACATATGTATCCGGTAGTTTGAGCCTTAAATTTCTCAGTACAAACGGATAAAGCATAGAGGTTGTAAGATGAGTTCAGTTCGATGGGTCAATCTACTAATCTATCAAAATAAAATCGGTTGAGTTGAAAATTTTAATTTGCCAATTTATTTCAACTCGCCTCACTTAAAAGTGGGTCAAAACAGATTTAATCCGTCGTGTGATGTGATGAACCATCGGGTTATAATTAATTTTTTTTTACAATTAAGTAGTATTTTCTTTTTCATTATTTTTTGTAATATTCAATTTTTTTTATCTTATTACTACCTAGAAAAATAAAGAATAAAAACTTTATTTATCACAAATATTATTTCTGTATGAAAATAAATGAGTTCTTAAAGAATGTTTAACTGAACATTAGTATACTTTTAAGATTGAGATCTGAAAAAATTAAGAGAATTATGAAATAAAATTAAATAATATTATAAAATTCATAAAATATAATTTATTTTTAAATTTTAAATTTTTTTAATTGATAAATTTATGAGTTGACGGGTCAATCCATTATAAAATTGGATGAATTTATATTTTTAACCTATGTTTAATGACGGACTAATCTGCCCCATTCCATTTTTTACGTCGGGGCGGGCCAAAAAAAAAGTAATTTAATTTGCATTATGAGTGAGCGTCAAAGCAGGTGTCGTACTATTGGATTTTTTAATAATATATTAAAAATTATGATCGATATGCTAATATTTTTGTGCTTCAGGTTGCGTGCAATAATATTTTCAAAACAGTTTTTCTTATATTTTTCGTCTGACAAATTGAAAAATTAAAACTTAAATTTAATAAACAGTTTATTTAACTGTTTTAAATTTAAAAAAAAAATTAAACGTTATATAAGGATTTAAAAATTAGAACAAATAAACTCTTTTTATTTATTAAATACACATATCATAAGAATGAGTTATCAAACACACAGAAATGTTGATTACACCTAATTAAATTTTAACAAAATTAACTAAAACCTAACTAAGTAATCGTCATCTAAATAAAATTTTAAGCAGGTGTCTCCACGTGTTTTGCCTTGTTATATATATTATTTAATATTTATTTATGTATTTAT